GCGACCCCTCCAGCCACGCAGGAGCACGTGGAGGCCCCTCCAGGGAGGGAGGGAGGGGCCACCTGGCTGTCCTTGCGGGGCACAGAGGTGTCCCTGGCCGCGCAGGCATCGCTCTGGGGCTGTGTGAGGGCACAGCGGTGCCACCCACGCCCGCCCCTCCCCTGGAGAGGGCGCTTTCCAACATGGGCCTCTCAGCGGTGCAGCCCAAGTGGCCAGTGGCCCTGAGACCAGAGGGCTGGGCCCAGCCCAGTACCAGCTCTGGAGGCCATTGAGCCGGAGGTAGCAGAGGCCAGCGCTAAGGCCGAGGCTGGTGCTGGTTCTGTGGGGCGGGGTGCCCTGGAGTGTGCCTTGAGCCGCTGCCATCCAGGGTCCTGTGGCTGCCAGTGTGGACAGTCCAGGGCCATGCCTGCCAAGGAGGCCTTTAGCCTCCACACCCTGAGCCTCACTGCAGGGAGACCCCTGCCAGCACCTGGCACACCACCAACGCCCTCAGCGCTGGGACTTTGGGACCTCAAAGCCATCTGCCAGGTGCCAGGGGGAGGCTTCAAGCTCCTGGGAACGTCCTGAGCCCTACCCAGGCCAGTCTGGACTCCAGGCTGGAGCGTTGCTGTCTGCTTAAGGAGAAACTGTGGGCCTTGTCCATTCCTGGCGAGGCTCCAGCTGACCACGTGATTCTGAAAGCCAGGAGCCCAGCCATGCGTGTTCTGCTCCGGCTCCCTGGGACGCCTCAGGTGGCATGGGACCACGCCTGGGTCACTGAGCCCACATCCCAGAGGCCCCTGCTGTGGTCACTGAGATGTCCCCCTGAACCTTCCTCCCCCAGACCTGAAGGCACCCAGTGGCTGGGCGGCTGGCTGGCTGCTGCTCCCCTGGGAACCCCCAGGAGTGGAGGGGAAGGGCCTCTGGGGCTGCAGCATCCCCCCCTCCAGGAGCCAGGAGGGGCACCTGGAGGCAAGCCAAGCGACCGATGTATTTTTATATATCTATGCAGACAGCGTGTCCCAAGGTACCTCCCTGATTGACAGATAACTTAAGAAGTCAATTGATCATCGGAATAAAACGTGCAAACCCCAAGGGGCTTCCTCTACTGTGTCTGAGACCCTCCGGCACCGCTGGGGTAGGGAAGGGGAAGCCAGGTGTCCCTGGGTCAACTCTCCCCTGGCCCCACCCAGTTTCTCGGGGACCATACTCCCGGGGGGGGGGGCAGGAAGCAAGTTCACCCCTATCCTGCTGACAGCCAGCTTCAGTGTCACCCCCAACAGATGCAGAGGCCAGGTCCCAGGTGAGGGTCTAGCTCCAATCTTGGGCATCACACCCACCGTCATAGAGGGGGCTCCAGACAACCCCCCAGCCCCGCTCCAGACCTGAGGTTCCCTACCGTCCATGTGGAGCAGGAATCTCATTTCTGCCAACTTCCCAATGTCCTAGAATACGGTGACATTTGCCCACAGCTGTCCTCTATGAAGCACTTACTAATTTTCTGTTGTTTGGAGGTTGCAAGAGGTTTGGAGCAAAATACAGGGTCAGGAGGGGAAGAGATGAGCTCTACTCCACCCCGGGGGGTTCTGCCTGGTGTGATGGGCACAGCCTGCCCTGTACTGAGAGGACGTGAGTTCAAGGACATAATGCCCTATTGGGTTTTGAAGTGTGCCTAGGAGTTTTCCTGGGAGACGAAGGTGAGGGGAACTGCATAAGTCTGCATTTTAAAGATGGAGTGAGGAAGAGTCCAGCGGGGGTGGGGGGGTGGAATGGCCTCCGGCTGGATGCAGCTGGGAGATAGCCGTCAACCAGGTGGCACCAGATCACTCCCTGTCCTGCCAACACACTCTGTGGTGGGTTGGGCCACCGTCCTTCAGAGAAGGCAGATAGAGATGCCCCGTGGCTGGCCTCTAGTCTGTCCCCACACAGCTCTGACTGCAGCCGAGGGAGATGCCATGGGGTCCCGGAGGCACCACAATGAGGGAGGAGCCAACCCCCGGCAGCTGGTGTGGCCAGCTGGGCCTGACCCATCTGGACTCCTGCAGGGGACTGGTGTGTGCGGAGGAAGAGGGACAGGGAGCCCATACTGCCACCTGCCTGCCACCTTGGTACTATAGCTGGGGAGCAGGCTGACCCCTGTCGGGAGGCGTCGGGATCCTCTCTCTGCAAAAGAGAAATAAAGCCCTTGGGGTGGACACCACACCTGGCGGCCAGGCCTGCATGGGTCTGAGGCCCTCAGGTCCCCACCACAGCTGTGGCCGAACCTGGGCCGGGCATCGAAGGCTGGGGTTGACAACAGAGGCTGGGCAGGGATGACGATCTCTCTTCAGGGGACCTAGGCTCTCCTCTGTGGTCCCCCAAGGCCCTGCGAGGGTTGGTCTCTGTGGGGCCAAATGGGAGGCTGGAGTCAGGAACCGGCACAGGCCTGGCCATCCTCCTCCCCTGGGAGCCTGTCGGAGCCTCGGAAGCGGCTCTCCAGCTACATGACCGCTGACCCAGGCCAGACACGGTGGCCCTGCTAACCAGCCACTGGGCCAGATGGGCCTCCTTCTGGGGACAGGGGGCCATCTGTCCCCAAGTGGGCTGAGGCTAACATCCTGGGGTGCTTGGGCCTCGGAGGCCGTGGGAGAGGGCTGGCTGGGAGCCATGACCTGGGACTCCTGTGCTGGGCAGGAGGATCAGAGCCACCCCTTGGCAGACACTGCCGAGGTGCTCACCCTCTCAGCCCGCCCTGGGCTTCCCTGGCTGTCCTCTGCCCACATGCCTGGTCAGTCCCGGGGCAGGGTGGCTGGGCAGGGATCCGCGGAGGCCAAAGGAAAGAGCAGGAGGTGGGCAGAAGCCAGGCTCAGCCGAGGAAGATCGGCGCTGTGGCTGGTTCAGGCTGAATCTGCAAAGGCGGGCAGCTGCTGACCAGGAGCTGGCGGCTGCCCCCCTCCGCCTGGGGTTGGAAGTGAGCGTGGGGAAGGTTGCCCACTCCTTAGCACCAATGCAGCGGGCAGGCGTGACAGGAAGACGTAAGGACCAACAGCCATAGGGGACCTGTCACCACAGCTGACATCTAGACATACCAACCAAGGTGTGGATGCTGGGCACCTCCTCCAGCCGGTGTGAACACTCGACACCTGTGCCGTGGGTAAGTGCCATGCGCCTTCACCACGTGACGGCACCTGATGTGACTTTTCAATGCCCCGAGGATGACACCCTTCCCTTGCCTTTCTCATGGCAAAGGGTGAGTCAAAGGGGACACTCCTAGTGTCCCTTGGCCCCCAGTTGCGTGCCCTCCTGGCTGCCCCGTCCAAAGCAGAGAAGACACTTCTGTATCGAGTATGATTCGCTTTTTAATTAGAACAACGTGTGTAAATGACAGAAGGCCACCACCATGCGCAGATGGTGGCCACAGAACACGCATCAAACTCGTTCTGCCCAAGGAAGGGAGGGATGGAGGGCGTGGCGGCTGTGAGCCGGCAGCCCGTCCCGGGTCCCGTGGACAAGGGGTCACCGGTGGTCGGCCTGCACGCTCCCCAACGTAAGCGGAGATCGAAAGCACAGCAGCATAATACTGGGTGAGTCCTTCCTCGCATAAAACATCTGAATTAATTCATCGAAGGTATCAAAAATATACCCTGTAAACCAACACGTCGCCCCGCCACCCCGCGGGCAGGAGGGCCACGTCCAGGTCCTGTGGTTCTGCTGCCCCAGGCCGCGCCCAGCCCTCTCGTCCCCCGCCTGGTCTGACGTGGTTTCCAGCAGTCTGTGGGGCAGCCTATGGGGACTGACAGAGCACTGCAGGCTGGACAGTGCCTGTCCGTCTGTCCCGAGCGCTAAGCGGGATGGGGGCGGGGGCTAGCTCAGTTTATACTTTGGTTCCAAATGGAGAAAGGGGAGGCAGTGGCATGGAGGCGCCTGGTCATCCTCTTTCAGGTCCCTGGTCACCCCGGCTGCGTGCTTGTGGTCACCATGCGCTCACTGTGTCCCCTCCCCGGCCTGCTGCCCTCCCCTCCCCTTCCGAGCACCAGGTGAACGTGCCCTGAGTACGGTCACTGTGCAGGGCCAGCCGGGGTGGGGGTCTTAGTTAAGGCTTTAGACAGGCAGGATGCCAGCTCCGGGTGGACAGACGGACGGACGGACGGACGCGCGGGCAGACTCAGGGCTCCTTCCTTGGTGGGGTGCGTCGCAGCCACCTGTCTGCCTCCTGGGCCGTCCTGCTGCGGGCAGGGACCTGCACCATGCCCACCGGCTCACTCGCTGTCGGAGAGCGTCTCGTACTGCGAGCACAGGAGCGGCTTGGGCTCCTCCTCCCAGGCGTGGTGGGGGCCGGCGAGGGGCCCACTGCCCGCAGGGAAGCCGGGCGGGGGCGGGGAAGCCATGGCACCCGCCTGCAGCCTCACGAACAGGGGGTTGTAGGGGAAAGGCGTGGAACCTGCGGCAAAGACAGGCAGCTGCTCAGGAGGCCTGGCCACTGCCCTGGACTAGGCCTTCCACTGTCTGCCCTCAGCTCCACGCTCCTGAACCCTAGGCCTCTACCTCGGTCACCTGGATGGCAGTAGTGACCTGTGCCCCACGGTCTGCTCCCCTGAGGCCCGGGACCCCTCCGGCATCCCCAGACCACCCATTCCCTACTCAAGGCCTGCAGCATACCCCGGGGGCCACAGAGGGATGTCCAGCTCCATCGTGGCCTGCCAAGCCCGGTGCCACACTCGCTCCCACAGCCTGGTCTGGCTTCCCTGGCAGCCCCAGTCACACTGTGTCCTAGCCTGTGTCCATCAGCCGCCAGGACGCAGCTGGCCATGGGGCCGACCAATGCCCACCTGCGGATGAGGGCCGGTCCTCCCACACACGGTTGGTGAGTGGCGTCCGGCGGTTGCAATCTCCCTCTGAGTGCACCGAGGAGACAGAAGGTGGCCGGTCCCCGGACGCCAGGCCCGGGGCAGGGGACTTGGCTTTTCGACTGCTGGGTCTGCCAGAGACCTTGGCTTTCCCACCACCACCTACAAGGGGACAAAGTGGGAAGGGTTGTGTTGGACACTGGAGATGACACATGCTGCAGAGGGTGGGGGTGACATCCTGCCCAGGGGAAGCCACCTGCTTCTGGGTCCTCCGAGGAGAGGCCAGGAGCACAATGACTCCCTGCCTCCAGGAGGCCAAGGTCGACCAGATGGCCAGACCCAGTATGAGCCTGCAACTTGGGGATCAGTCTTCACTGAGGCCAAGCTGCTGGCCCCTCAGGCTGCCCTGCACCTCCCCACACCCTGGGGCTAGAACTCTGGGCAGGAAGCCTCTGCTGGATTCTGAACATTGCCCAGAATGGCACTGGGGCTGGGTGGGCTGCAGGCCTCTGCCAAGACCCAGAACCTCCTGGAGCCTGCCTCAGTGTCCAGGTTGGACACTGAGCCCAAGGCCCCCGCTCGGCTCCCTGCTGAGTAAAGCAGGTCCTAACAGGACAGGGAGCTGGCCCTCAGGCTCTTGGGCACGTTAGGAATGTGGGTCTCCCTTCAGCCCCAGGGCCATCAGGCCACATGCAGGGGACCTGGCTGCTGACCCCACTGTCCACGCAGCACAGGTAGGTCCTCCCTGCAGCCTGGTCTCCCCAGGGAGACATGAGCTGGGTGCGGGCACGGGCAGAGGCCCAGCGGGGGCGGGGGCAGCCGTGGGCAGCAGTGAGCGTCCGAGAAGCAGCAGGCCCGGGCCTCGTGGGCACTGGGTGCCGCAACCCCAGGTGCCAGCCCAGCTGCAGATCAGCAAATTCCAGAGACATCAAATGCGCACAAAATAGTCACAAGCTCCAAAGCTCAAGGGGGGCTCAGAGGATTAACGACACAGGGACGGGACAGAGGGGCGGGGGGCCTGCAGACCTGGCGAGGCGAGCGTGTGGTCGCTCCGTCCGTCAACAGCGGTTATGGGCATAGCGGCAGCGGGCAGGCTGGCACTGGCATTCAGAGGGTTAAAAGCATTGGCGCCGAGTGGCGGGGGCTCTTCCCACTGATCATATTTACCCATGAGTGCCTTTCTAATAATGGCCTCCAGCCCCATGTTGGTGCTGGCGTGCTCCTGCACGGCCGGACTTCTAGAGGTCATAAGGCCTGGGGGAGACAGACAGACGCACACAGAGGGCGGCCACACACGGGGCGGCCGGGGAGAGACACGTGAGCATGTTTTTGCAAAGCAACGCCCTCCACCTCCCACTCCTCCTGCAGGGTGAGGTGCCTCCGGCGCCCGGGCAGGCCGGGCTGGCAGGGCAGACAGTCCTCGGCCTCGGCTAGCTGGGATGCTTTGCTGTGACTCCCAGTGGCCCTAAGAGGAAAGGTGGGGCTGGGAAGGGCGGGGCCATGGTGACACTGGTGGAGCCAGAGCCGGAGGACAGAGGACGGGGTGGGGCGGGGAGACCCGGCCTGGGGTCTGGGTGGTGGGACAGAAGGGACCTAGGGAGGGAAGTGACTGGTTGTCCTCCCTGTGCCCTTCCCCTGAGAGGCCTGGGGCCCGCTGTCCCTGCTGATGCCCCCAGCTGGGCCTGACTCTGCCCGCTCCCCTCTCCCCACCCAGAGCCAGAGAAAGAAGGGCAAAGACGGGCGCGAGGAGAGGGGGCGCGAGGTGAGGGGTCATAGCCATGCAGTTATGTGCGTGCGGGGACAGGGTGGAGCTGGGGACAACTGCGGACGGCCCGGCCACCCCACTGGCACGGCCCCCCCATGGGACACAATGGCCACCAACACATGGGCCCCGGCGGCCCGGCCATGGAGACCCTCTATGCGGTCCCGCTGGGCCTCCTCTCGAGCCACAGGCCTCTCCCTCCCTCATCCATGCGGCCACCTGGGCCTCTGCGTCCACCTGGGGCCTCTCTGCAGCCCCTTGCAGGCACCTCTGTCCTCTACATTTTGCTTCCAAAAATTTCCGAGGAACCCCCAGCGCAGGACAGACGGGGCTTCGGCTGCCCTTCACTGGTCTTAAACTACCTCACGGCTTCCTGAGGTCGGAGCCAAGGGGCCACTTTTAAAGCCCCCGCTCCTGGGGCAGCAGATGGCTGTTCACTTCCCTGTCCTTCCCTGGGTTCAAGGGCACTGGCCGCTGGGACCCCTTGCAGCCCTTAAAAGGCTACTGGGCCTCCCAGTCAGAGCCAGGGCCCAGTGCAGCCAGTCAGGCCATCTGCCAAGGTGAAGCCTGGTACCAGGAACCAGGGCCGGGGGAAAGTTGGTTTTATGGACTAAACTGCTTTTAAGAAACAACAACAACAAAAATAATCATAAGAATGTTTTAAAAACCCTGGTACAGTCTGCACTGTCGGCTCCGATGCTCCACACCTATGGGCCACCAACGGCCATGTCTTAACATCTGCTGGTGCAACCCTTGTCCCCTCGGGCCTGGGGCATGAGTCTCTAGCAGGGGCAGATGGACACGGTCCCGGGGACCATCCTCTGGAGGCCCCAATGAGCCCCTGGTAACATCCAACACTGTCCTCTGCTCACCACAGTCTAAGGCTCTAGGCCACCAAGAAGATCAGCACAGCTGCCCTCCAGGAGGGTGATACCAGGCAAATGCAGGAACCAACCCCACAGACCCCAGCTCCTCAGCCGGCAAGGGGTCACCCCAGTCTGCCCTAGGCTCAGCCACTGCTCGGAGGTACTTCACCAAAGCCCCACCCCTCTGCCTTCCACAGGGACAACTGCGGACAGCCCAGCCACCCTGCTGGCATGGCCCCCAGTGGGACTTGGACAGGGCCCCACTAGAGGCTGGGGGTGGGGAAGAGTCTATCCAACAAAATATCATAGGAGTCTTAAAATTTCAGTGTAAAAACACATGTGAGCTTCACACCCAGCAATTCATACGTGTGCATTTGATTTGGCAAAAGTCCATCCATTGTCCCCCACCCCACCCCCGCTTGAATTCGTGAGTCAACTGGAGGCTCGAGCCATGGAAAGTGCCCACCAAGACCCCAGGGCTTTGCTCCTTGCCTGGGCCCACACCTGGTCTGGGCGCTGCAGCCTCCACCAGAGAAACCTGTCTCCGGGCACCACCTACCAGCACTCACTGAGCTCATGGGACCGTGACCTTAAACTCCAAAGACACCTCATTGCAGCCATAGCTCAAGTGCCTGCCGTGGGACTCTGGACCTCATGGCAGCGGGGGGGCGGAGGGGGGGACTGGGAAGAGGGCCACCCCTGAACTAGGAAAGGCTTTTGGTCCCCACGTAGCAGCTGGGGTGGAGGTTGGGTGGAGAGGTGGGCAGCCAGCGGCCAGCGCAGGGTGTCTTACCTGCTCCAGTGATGGCGGGCATATTGAAGATCTCCGTCCCAGGCTGGCCGATGTCTGCAGTGGGACAACAAGGTGGGTGAGGCTGTTGTCCTGGAGGTGGTCACTCACATCTGTCCCCTGGCTGCATGGTCTGGCAATACCCTGGGACCATGCTCTGCAGACAGGCTGCAGGTCTGGGGTGGCAGTGACACCCTGCACTCCCAGTGAGCACCCTGGGGCTGGGCTGGGGCCCCAGGACACCACATTGCCAGCCAGGTCTGGTGGGACTGGCCTCGGCAAGGGTCGGTTTCCTCTCCAGCCCCAGAAGGGGAGAGGCCCCGGCTGGGCATCTGCAGAGGGGGCTTCGAGGTCCTCTGCACTAAGTGCGGGAGTCCCGTAGCACTCAAGGGGGCACTGCTACCCAGCCCCCGTGGGTGGAACCGGCCCTGGTGCCCCGCCATCGCATCTGTGCTGCTGGGCGCCTGCGGAAGGACCTGCAGACAGGACTTCCCAGGGTCCTTGAAGGGGGGCTCCAGGAGGGGGTCAGCAGTGCTGGGCTTGGCCTTGCTGGGGCCCACTACAGGGCGGCCGGGCTCTCTTACTGTATTCCGGCTCGTTCCGGTTGTGCGTGCTCAGCTTCTTGTTGATCTCCTGCTTCTTGGACTTGACCATGGCCGAGTTGCTCTCAGTCAGCTTGCTGAAGAAGGCCGGTGGCTGGCTGGTGTTGCCTGGGGACTTGGAGCCCGTCCTGCAGCAAGGGTCAGATACCCATCAGCGGCCTGCTCACACCCTGCACCTCCCACGCCCCCTTGGCTGTTTCTGGGTCCCTGGGCTCAGGCCCAGGTATTCCCCGCTGCAGGGGAGCTGCCTGAACCTCTGTCTGGTGCCCCCTGACTGGCCCACCACACTTAGCCCGCCTTCCAGGTCCTCAACAGGGCGAGCAACACAGGCCTGGTCTGAGCTGAGACCCCAGCTCAGGGCACAGGAACTGTCACCCTAGTCCCCCAGTGAGGGCACACATCCCGCCCCCCAGATTTGTGGCATTTGCTTGGCAGGCCTGAAGTCACTCAGCCTAGCCTGCTGACCCCCACTGGCAGGGACCAGCAGAGGACAAGGCTGGGAGAGGGGCCAAGACATAATCTCAGAGGGGCCCTGCGCTGCCAGGGTACCTGGGCTCTGCCGGCTCCCCGTCCCGATACAGCAGTGGGTACACGGCACTCCGGGGGTGCCCTGACTCTGACATGCCCTCTGGTGGGGACACAGGTTCAATGCCATCCTCGGTGCTCAGGACTGACGTCTTGCTTGGTTCTGGAGACCTGGGTGAAGGGAGGGTCCCAGCTGTGGTTAGCACATCCCTAGAGTGACACCCCTGCCCCCCGTCTCCACTCTGGCAGCTAGGATGCGCTTTCCGCGAGTGGCCCAGGCAAAAGAGTCCATCACCAGCAACGTCTGCTCCTGAACCACACAGAGCAGGTCCTGGGCTGGGTCTGGCCACAGTCCAATGTGTCTTAATCTCTCCTCTGACCCTGGTGGCACCCATGCCTCACTTGCAAGGCATGCCCCCTGGGGGCCACCTGCCACCACGGAGCCCCGGAGCCATTGGTGGGAGTGTGTACGGGCCTATGGTCACACGCGTGTGCTGGGGGCAGGTCCCAGGAGCCAGTGACCACTTCTCCAGGCCTCGTCTCCTCACCTGTCAAGGGGCGCGATGTCCCTGCGGCCAGGGGTACAGGGAGGCTCCCAGTCCCCCCACGCGGTAGACCACTGGCCAGGTGCCCACACCCCCCACCCCGTGCTCACCTCTTGCCCCCTTCACTGTGGGGGGAGCCGCGGGCCGGGGCGCCATGGTCGGGGGGTGGGAGGTAGAGATCACTAGGTGGGCGGCGCAGGTCCAGGACGGGGCAGCTGGCTCCGGGGAAGGAGTAGAGGGGGGCGGGCAGGGGTGCGCTGAGCTGCTGCGGGTGGTGCCTGGTGTAGTCCTGCGTGATCACCTCCTGCAGGTGGGGCAGGGGTTAGGAGGCCCTCCACCAGCCCCTCCGGATGTGCCAGGGGCTGGCTGTGCTCAGTGCTCAGCTTCCTGGGGCTCTGGACCTGCCCCACTGCCTCTGGGATCTCGCCCCGTTGGCCACCCCACCAGGACTGAAGGGCCATGGGACCTCCCCGCTCCCTGGGCCTGGCTCCCACCCCAGGTGCAGAGGGCAGAGTACAGGTAGTTACACTGATGTGCTGTGCCAAGGTGACCACCCGCTGGTGACCTTTGACCCCAGGGGCAGTCTGGAGCAACGGGCTGGATGCAGGCTGGCTTTCAGGCAGCGGCCGCAGGTGTGGGAGGTGGGTAGCCTCAGGGCCGAGCTTCGTGGGGCCTGTGGGCAGAGTCCAGTCAGCCAGGGGCGGGGGCACTTGGGGCCAGCTGAGGGACAGGCCAGGGCTGTTCCTGTCCTGTGAGTGGGACCCACCTGGCTGCTTGTGCCGCAGCTCGGCCTCCAGGTGGCTCTTGTCCAGCTCCTCCAGGTGCTTGGGGAGCCCCTTGTCATGGGTCAGGCTGGGCGAACTCACTGGGCTGACGGGCTCCACCCCATCGGGGCTGTACCCACCATGGTACCCTGCAGGAGGCAGCTGGACTCAGGGTGCAGGCTGCTGACTGGGGTCCAAGGGGAGAAGCTGACCCCCGGCTGGCTGGGCCCCTGGGGTCAAGGGGAGGGGGCATGGTGGAGGGCCGAGCCAGGGACCTGGGGTCAAGGGAGATAACCCCCAACTTGGGGGATCTACAGGGACCAGTGGACACGCAGACAGACCAAAGTAAGAGCTAGACAGCAGATGCAGAAAGGCAGGAGAGGGAGGGTCAGATTCAGGGCAGGACAGAGGGGACGGGGCAGGAGCGTGGGGCAGAGCATGGGACAAACAGGCAGTTGGAGCAACGCCCGGCCCAGGAGCCCTGCCTGCGCCCAGAGGCAGCAGAGGCTTCCTGCGGAGGCGCCCAGCCTCTGGGCACTCGGGGCTGGGCACGGGCTTTCCCGGGCCCCTTCACGACCCGGCAGGATGCAGAGCTGGGGTTCCTGGCCCTCCTGAACAGTGCGGCCTCCTCCCCTCCCCAGAATCTCCCTCCTGGGCTTCCTCCCAATCCAGCTGGGCCCACGGCACCAGGCTGAAGCCCCTGGCCTCCCCCCCTGCTCCCCAGATGAGGGCGTGAGCGGGGAGATGCAGGCACGGCCCCGGTGCAAACCACAGGTCCATCCACCAAAGGGAAAGCGAAAATCCAAAAAAATATATAAACAAATAAAAATAAAAAATAATAAAAAATCATGATAAAACAATGTGCGAATGGTGAGGTGTCCCCAGGTCAGAGGGACAGGCAGCAGCTTGAGGATCGTCAGAGCGTGCAAATCCACAAGAACGGGCTTAAAAACAAAATGCCAAAACCAACAACAACAAAAAAAAAAAAAAAGAAAGAAAAAAAAATGGGGGAAAATAAAAAGCAAAGATCTGAAACGTCTCTGGGCCCCGAGGTGGCAGGGGCAGGGCCGGGAGCTTACCATCGCGAGGGGAGTCGGCGGCCAGCGAACCTCCTTCTCGCGGCCCTTTATCGTGAGCAATTTGACGCATGATTATCGCGTCTATGAAGGTGGCCGCTGTCAGGGTGGTCTTACCCAGAGAGCGGAGCTCCATTTCCTGGATGGAAAAGGGTTTACTTTGAGTCTTTTCCCGGTGCAGATCCGAGGCCGAGGTGGACGGCGCCGGCTGGTCCGGGCTGGCGTGCTGGGCTGCGAGGCTCTTGGCTGGGGTGCGGGCGATGGCCGCCGCATGGCTGGAGCTGGGGGGCGCGAGGGGCCGGGGCTCGGAGGTCTTGCCGGGGGAGGAGGCAGGCTCACGGGCCAGGGATTTGGGGAGGAAGGCGTGGCCGGTATCCGCACGGGGCCGCTCGGGCCGCGCCACCCGGGAGGCCTCCTTGGGCAGCAACACAGGCTCCATGAGGGTGGGGTAGACCCCTTCGAGGGTGCCTCCCAGCGGGCAGTGGGTGGCGGGCGGGAATGTGGCAGCTGGGCGGACAGGCGAGGAAGTGGAGGTGGACCTGGGGTAAAGAGAAGGGGGTCAGGTGGCTGGGGCCACTGCCTCACCGCGCCCCACCCTAAGTGAGCTCCCTGCCCCGGGTCGACCTGCAGGAGGGCCAGTCCCACGGCCCACCTGCCCCAGAGCTGGCTGTTTTAACTAAGCACCTACTAGGAACCAGCCCCTTGGAAAGGGCAGGGAACAAGATGGCCAAGGGCACCATGGCTAGTGCCTCCTGCCGAGAGGCCTTCTACAGACCAGCAAAGGGCCAACTGACAGTGGCTGAGGGCAGGGACTGCTCCTCCAGAAGGGCAGGGCAGCCCAGAGGGTCTCTGGGGTCTGGCACCAGCCCCACGTCCCTGTCCTTTGCAAACTCACTCCTGGGGCCTTCGTGTCCGGTTGTCACCACCCCACCCCCACCTTCCCCTCATGCCCGGCCCCTTGACCCCATCAGCTGCCCGCCCAACCGCTCTGCTCATCACCTCTACCCAGGCCCCTGCTCACCCAGCCCACCTGCCCACTGCCACGGGGCTCGGCCACCACCCACAGTGTCCAGCACGCCTGCTGCCCGCCCTCGCCCACCCTGCCCTGCCCGCCCTGGTGCCAACCTGGCCCACCTCAGGACCGTGGGCGTGCTAGGCTCCACAGGGGTGGCGGTGCCCTTCATGCCCGTGTTGTGCAGCACGCTGGGTCTCTGCTGCAGGGCGTCCTGGGTCCGGGGGGAGATGGGCGAGTGCTGCTGGCCATGAGAGTGGGGGGCAGGGCGGCTGCTGTTGGCCCCACCCCCACTGCCACCGCTGTTGCTGTTGCTGCTGCTCTGCTCCGTACCTGGGCACAGGCTATCATCAGGGAGCCGCCCAGGCCCCACGAGGACCCGCGGGCCCAGGGTGGAGCCCACGCCTACCGGGTCTCCAGATGGGCGCGTGCTCCACGGTCGCCGTGGACGTGAGGATGGACTTGTCCCGCTCCCGCTCTCGCTCTCGCTCCCGCTCTGACGAGGCTGTGCCCGTCGGCTTGGTCAAGGCACCTCCTGGGGACCAAGGCCAGACTCAGCCCTGATCCAGGGAGGGCTTCTCCCTGCTCGTGCCCAATGCTCGGGGACCCGTGGTACCTGGGGACAGTGGGGAGCTGCTGTGCCGGCTGCTGAAGGGCGGGGGTGCTGTGGGCAGGTAGGCTAGGCGGTCCATGGCGGCAGCTGGGGTGCCTGGCGTTGGGGGCACCAGCACAGGCAGGTGTGGCACTTGGGACAGGTCGATGATGCCTGGGGTGGGGACACGGGGCTTAGCCACAGAAAAGGGGGCATGGAGACGGCCAGCAGCCCCGCACCATCCAGGGAAAACAGACTCACCTCCACGACCCTTTCCCAGAGTGTTGGACAGGCAGCCCCCGCCCCCGCCCTGGAGGGCCGCTCCCTGCCTGGGTGGCCTCTGTTCTCGGGGCTGTCCCCTCACCACCAGCCTCACTGTCTACAACGCTCGCGACTGGTTCTCGCCTTGGCCTGCAGCACTGCTGCCCAGCGCCCAGGACACCCAGGCTGCCCCCCCCAGCCCCCGCCAGCCTGAGTGCCAGAAGAGCACCGTGCACATGCACATGCCTGTGCCATAACCCCAAACCCCCAACCAGTGGGTGCACAGTGGCTTCTGCATCCCAGTAAGCCCATAGAGCCGGGGAGAAGCCCACCGCCCACCTCGCGGGCCGGCGGCGTAGTTGAGCGCCAGGGAGGACTCCCGGGGTGAGAGGCCCCTCAGCATGTCCGCGCGCTGGGCCATGGCGCTGGCCGCTGCGTTGTGGTGCATTTGCTGTGAGGTGATATAGTCGTTGATGATGGTCTGGCGGTTCTCCAGCGCAGCTGTGTCCGGGTAGCCGCGGATGAGGTAAGGCGGGTACAGGTGTGGGTACGTGGGGTTGGGCGCCAGGTGTCGCGGCAGGTAATAGGCAGTGGCTGTGGGGAGGGGACCGAGGTCAGCCAGGCCACAGGGTGTGGAGACCCCTACCGTCCTTCCAGGAACGAGCAGTACATGCCCAACCAGGCCACGCGGCATTTCAGCTGAGGTGCCCACATGGAGGCCTCAGGAGGGGCCTTCTGACCCCCCAACAGGTCTGTCCTTGGACAAAGGCCCCAACCTGGCTGTGTGGCAGAAGCCCCCACCCAGCCCAGGGTCTGCTCCAGGCCCAACGTGCCCACCCGGCACTGGCTCCTCTAGGCCTCAGCACCCCTCCAGAGAGTCAGGCGCTGATCCCCGAGGGTCCCTGTGCTGGTGCTGCTGAGGTCCCCACCCGTGTCCTGCCTCCCAGGGTGGGGGTTCCAGACCCGCAGTCACCTGCATCCAGAGGGATCCCGCGGGGTATGGAGGTGGGGTCGAAGGCCAGCGGGATGTGCCCCCGGTACAGGTCCACGCCACTCACGCCGCGCAGTAGGTGCTCGTAGGAGGAGAGGGGGTGCGGGTGGTGCTCGGGCACCGCGCTGTGCGGGGACTTGGCGATCTCGCGGGGTGTTGAGGTCAGCTTCCGGTCCTGGGACGCCTTGCTGGAGGACAGGCTGCCTGCAGTGACAGGGGACGCCTTGTTGGAGGACAGGCTACGCCTTGTTGGAGGACAGGCTGTCTGCAGGGCAGGGCGTGGGCTGGCGTCTGGGGAGCTGTCACGGGGCTCCCCCAGGATAGGCTCCTCCCCGGGCCTCGGCCTGCTCCCCGCCCCCCTCATTCTCTCTGCAATTCCTTCAACCAAACCCCTCGTCCACTCCTTCCCTCCGGGTTCTTTCATTCAATCTACCAAATATCTGTGCGGCCTCCGCCTGGCACCCAATGCTGCCCAGAGCACGAGGCCCCTGGGACAAGACAGACCCACATCCCAGGCCTGCGGAGCTGACGCTTGAATCAGAAGACAGAGACAGACCAGGAACAGACAAGGACTCCAGGACAATAAACGTTCAGAATGAAACTGTCACAGGACATGATCAGAACTGAGAGGAGGGGTGTAAGAGTGTCCCAAGGATGTGAACTTTGAACAGAGGCTGGGGACTGAGCAGGGCAGGGGAGGTGCTGCTGGGGAAGGCAGAGGGGTTGGCACGTGCAAAAAGGCCCTGAGAGAGGACCAGGCAGAGACGCGCTCTGTGGGAGTTTGGAGGAGCCCACCGCGCCACCCACTCTCACCTTCCTGTAGGCGAGGCGTGGGCTCTCGGGTGGTCACGGGTGAGCCACGGGGCAGGTGGCCGGTGAAAGGTGCCCCATGGTCCTCATAAGTCAGGGGGCTCTGCCGTGGCTTGCCGAGCTCGGGCACGATGACTGGGGCCCCACGGGTGATGGAGCCCCCGGAGCTGCCCACAGCGCCCGGCCGGCCCTTCAGGCTCTCCTCGTAGCAGGCACGCTCCAGAGCCCGTGCGTCCGCCATCACGTCAAGCGGGTGCACAGGTGGGAAGGTCCGGCCAGGGCTGCCAATGATGGAGCGCACGTCGTGCTTCTTGGAGCCCGTGGAGGACGAGCCCGTGTCGTACTTGAGCGGGGTGCCCTGGGGACAGAGGGCGCCAACTCTCACGCCCAGCCCAGGACAGACGCCGGCGTCCTGCCTGCCTGGGCCTGGCCTCATCCTGGCCAGAGCTACCTGGGAGCTGCAGGAAGGGGCAGAAGGCTCAGCTGTCAGTCAATCCTCCCCAGGCAAGTGGTGGACCGTCCACTAGCCCTGGGGCGTACTGGAAGGAGCCCTGCCCACACGGGCCAAGCTTCCTCTGGTCGGCAGGGACCCTCCACGGTGCACCCAAGACCTGGCTGGGAACCCTGCCCCACTGTCCTGAGCCAGGCCGTAGGTGCTGAGCTTGAGGATGAGGTTCACGTTTGCTCTCTGGCCCAAAAGGGCAGCTGTGGAGCCGATGGTGAACAAGAAGCCAAGTTTCCCAGGAGCAGAGCGTGCTCTGTCCCAGCAGGCTGGGGAGACGGGGTCCAGGCCTGGTCCCTTTATTCAGCCATGTTTAACCACAGTTTCCTGAGGAGGGGGAGCGTTCTAGCTTCTGGGAGGATATTCTAAAATCAGCCTTGTCCCATCTTGGACACAAGGTGGGTCCTTTCCAATGGCTCCACCGCTGCCCAGAGCCGAGAGCCAGTCCTTCCCCAGCCTGTGTGCCCCGGGGGGTGTGGACATCTTCACCCAGAGACACGGTGGCTGGGGGTGCCCGTCACCACCCGGGGAGCCCTCCTGACCCTCCTCACAACTGTACACCCGGCCACCTCCGACCATGAAGGACAGTGGCCTGCAGGGGCTCCACAGACTCCTACTATCACCATGGCAGCAGGTCCTCCCCGCCTGGCTGGGGCCGCAGGGGATGCCACTTGTAGGACACAGGCTGGGGTTTGCTGGGCCCTGGGTGACTCCTTGACTTCTCTGAACCTCAGCGACTCACCAACAAATGGGGACGGAGAACCAAGAGGACCACCATGATGCCCCACGGCCGGCCACCCCCCTGCCCGTACCTGGGTGATGGAGCCCTCCTTGAGTGGCCGTGGGGCCAGGGGCAGCTCAGGGGTGCGCCGGAGCTCCTCGCGGGGGATCTCGTGGATGGAGCGGCCCGCTTCCTTCACGGTGGCCACCAGGCCCTCGTGGGCTGGCTTCAGCTTGAGGGGGCCCAGGGCCTCCAAGGGCCGGGTCTTGTAGGCCTCAGCCAGGTCCCGTGGGGGCGGTGGTGGCGGGGGTGGCGTGCCCTCGCGCTTCAGCAGCTTGGCCTCCCTGCGTAGGTAGTCCTCCTGGGCCTCCACGTAGGACCGAGGGATCCCTGCCGGGTGAAGGGACCACCCTCAGCACACGTCACACACCTTGCTGGGCCACCCTGGGTCCTCCCCAGCCAGGTCTGGAGCCAGAGTCCTCCCGGTGTGACCTCGTTAACACACACGGACAGTGTGTGACATCCCAAGGACAGCACAGATCAGGGCTGGGCGCAGCACTGCCCACCTGGGCCAGCCTGGGCTCCACCCGACCTGGGAACAGGCACAGGGCTGGCACCTCTGGCCACGCGCACCACCCTCTGCAGGCCCTGCTGGGCCACTGCCAGGCAATCCCTGGAGGCCCGTCCACCCTCACACGCCCTGGGCAAGCGCCTGCGCATCTGCCCCCCAGCTCCCACCCTGCTCTGCGCCCCGGGCTGGGCCCCAGCCCCACCGGCGCAGGGGCCGTACCTTGGGTGATGGAGCCGCGGATGTGGTGCTGCTCCTTGAGGGGGTGGGGGCTGTGCCGCTCGGGGGGCATGGCGCGTCCCATGAGACCTGGGGAAGGCAGGGCGTCACGGCACCTCCCTAGCTGGCCGTGGGCAAGGGGCAGGGTCTGCTAACCACTACACCCACGACACAGGCTGGGGCACAGGACCTAGCAGCAAGTGCCCCGTCCTCTGGGCCTCATGCTGCCTCCAGGTAGAGTCCAGCCTCAGCCGTCTGTGAATCAGGGCCGGCCACCCCACCGCCTCCCTGCGAGGCATCCAGAGACCACTCACTGTCCCTTGACACTCCACCAGCTGGGAAGCCCAGGGCAGGAGCAAGGGCCCACACTTGTGTTCCTGGGGTGGGCAGTGGGCGGCGGGCGGAACCTACCCTCAATGCCTGCTGAGGAGATGGTCCTGCCCACACGGCCCTCCATCACATCGTAGGTGCGCTTGGGGGCCGTCGCCTCATGGGGTGCCCCTGAGCTGCTCCTGCCGTCCTCCTTGGAGCACTGGGACACAGACATGCCACCTGGAGAGCAGACGGAGGCACCTGAGGAACTGGCCTCTGCCCGCTGTGGGCCTCCCAGCAGCCCGGGGCTCCTGGATGGAGAGGCAGAGACGCTGCCTGCTGCCGTGGCCCGGGCTCTCCTGCTGGCGAGTGGGCATGAGTCTGGCCCCACGCAAGGCCCTCAGGAGGTGTGACAAAGGACACCCATACAACCTGTCTGTGGGCGCACGCGCAGATGTGCATGTGCCCTGGGTCAACGCACGTGGGGTGAAGGAGTCCCTGTGGAGAGGTGACTCCTCATCCCCAGACAGGGCAGCATCTGTGCAGAGGGGGCAGAGGTCAGTAGCCGTCCCCTGCCCAGCGCTGTCCTGTTAGCTGTTGTGAGGATGACCAGCTCCAGGCTACAGGGTGTCTCCGATGCCACCCTGACCACCAGCCAGTCATCCCCTAGACTACCATCCCCGGGGGACTCCACTCCACTTGCGGGGTGGGGGGAAGCAACTGGATGCAGCACCCTGGGGTCCACACCACTGAGTGCCCAGGGCTGCCAGGAAACGCCCGTGGCACTGAGCCCCTGCCCACCCTCACCCCAGGGCTCCTGGTTCCAGAATCCAGAGGTGGAGGGAAGGATTGGGAGGGGCAGGGCCAGTGGGGACTGGGGTCATGCTGGCCACGGGAGCGTGCAGAGCTGGGCCCAGCGGGGAGCACGGGAACCTAGGCTGGGCCTCTTCCCCCACAGGCTGACCACAGCACTAGTAACAAAGAACTGGGCATGGGAAAAGGCCCCGGGCCAACCCTTGCCTGGCCCGCACTGCCCTTCAGACTGCACTCCTAGTCTACTCTACCCCAGCCTGCCCGTGAACCACATCCAGGGGTCAGGCCTCATCCTCTGGTCCTACTCTCTGTCTCCGAGGGCCAGGAGGACGCCCACATTGGGACCTAGGACCTGGGTAAGGGGCACCCCGTCTCCTCCACCCGGTTCTCAGCACAGGAGCCAACAGGAGGCAACCCCTGCCCTGGCTTGTCCACAGGCACCTGGCTGCTCTCCCATGCCACTGTGGGTCTGGGACCTCCCTTCTTAACCAGCGGTGGATGTGCCAAGGCCCATGGTCTGGTGGACAGGCCTCACGGGAAGGGCAGGTTTCCACAACTCAAAATTAACAAGGGACTTCTGACTCGCCTCTGCCGTGGTGCCCCAGGAGCTAACAGGGTGGGACATGGCCTGGTCTAATGTCTGCTCTGTCCCCAGCCCTGGCACAAACTCACGGGGAGACGCAAGTGACCAAGTGACGAGCTCCCCAGCACCCTTCTCCTCCCAGCAGTGTGCTCTGGGCACCAGAGATCCCTGTGATGGGGGGAGGGGAGGCCAGGGGCTGCCCACCCTGCACTCACCCTCATAGGACAGCACATGGCCCTTCTTGCCCTCGTAGATGACGTGGCCCTTGGGCAGGCTGTCCTCCCGGGCCCGGTCCAAACGACTGGGGCTGTCCTCGCCGATGATCCTGGTGATGGTGCCCTTGTACAGGACGTCGGCCGGGGTACCCTGTGGGGACGGAGAGCTGAACACGAAACCCTGGGTGACCTGATCCACACGTGGCCCACCTGAGCACATGTGTGCACACATGTGTGGCGTCTCTGTGGGGGCAGAGCCCATGGGGACACAGGGCACAAGGTGAGACGCACCAGGACCAGGAGCCCTGCTTTACAGAGGGCTGCCACGTAGCGATGGCCTGCCGACACCGTCCTGATCTCTCAGTCCTGGGACTGACCCAGGGTGGACAGGGCCATGTGCTGCCTCAGACAAAGCGGAGGCTCGGGTGAGGTGCTCCGCCCAGAGCTGCCTGGCCGGCGAGGTAGGAGCTGAACTTGACCCGAGGCCTGGACTGCAGTGGTCCCCCCTGTGCCAGGTGGGGCGCCACCATCGAGGAGCCCAGGGGTCAGATGTCTCAGGGTAGCCGTTGGCCACAAGACTCAGCTCCTGCCTCGGGTCCTCGACCAAGTGCCATTGCCCAGGCTTCCCGAAACCAGGACAAAGGCCCTGCTCAGTGCTGGGTGTCAGACACTGGCTCCTGAGCCTCCCAACCTGGGGCTGGTGACTCTGGCCCTGGCGAATGGCTGGCAGTGACCCTGGCCTGGACACACGATGCACACTCCCCAGCCCCTCTCCCCAAGCTGTGACGATCCAAAATATCCCCAGATGCTGTCCAGTGTCCCCTGGGGGTACGACTGTCCCTAGTGGAGAGCTACCCTTTAGAAGCAGCAAGCCCGTGAGGGGTGTGCTCACGCAGAGGGCAGGCCCTGCTGGGCGATTTCCAGGAACAGTGGACACGTCAGGACACCACTCTGGAGACAGGTCTTTGGGGAATCAAACAGCAAGCTGACCCAGCTGCCGTGTGGCCTTTGCCAAGTCCCTGTCTGTGTGGACCCCAGTTTGCACATCTACAAAATGAAGCCTCGACTCTGAGACTCTCAAAGGCACCTGGTACAGACAAAGTGTCCCCAGATCCGCAGCTCCCTCTTCCCTTCTGCGATCTCAGGAACAGACCAGGAACAGATTCAGTGATGTGGAGTCCTACTGTGTTCCAGGCCCTGCCCTGGGGAACTGAGTCTCCTGTGGGACTCTGCTGAGGAGTGCGCCCTGGGGTGGGGATAGTGCCTGGCAGAGACTGCGAGCCAGGACCCTATGCTGTGACATGGGTGTAGAGGCACAGGTGGGCATCAGTCAGGCCAGGTGGCAGCTCAGCTCATTGGGAGAGTCCTCAGCAGGGGATCCGACATCCTTGCAGCAAAGGCTGTACCGGGGTTGGGGTTGCTGGCATTAGTGCACCTGTCACGGTATCTTGGGTGACACCTGGTGGTTGGGGTGGAGTAGTGTCTGCTGGGAGCTCAGGGGCTTCCCCACAGCAAGGTTCACTGGCGGGACCCAGGGGCCTCACGTGTGCCCCACGGCAGGGCGGAGGACGGACACACAGCCAGGCTGCTGGCCCTGTCTGGGAGGGTTCGCTGGACAAAGTCCGTGGAATACAGATGCCTGTGCCCAGGCCTGTGGCCACTCGATGTCGGCCCCATGAGCTTGCCCCAGGTGAAAAGGAGTGCCCATCAGGACAGAGACGACCTCGGGCTTCCAAGCTGATCGTGGGGCAAGGTGTCTCAGCGGCCAACGTCCCATGGCCAAGCAACGCTTCTGCGTATGGTGAGCAAGAGCCAAGTCCACCCTGCCCTCACGGCAAGGCTGGGAGCAGTGTGACCCTCACCTGCCTCAGATTCTCTGGCAGCTGCCACTCTGCCAGGATCAGCCAAGGAGTGGGCGTGGCCCAGACAGCTTGGTCCTGGCTGCCTGGACCCACGGCAGGTGCAGGTCAGGGGCTTCCACACTGCCCGTGGACCCCTACGACCTCACAATTGGCTCTCCGGGAGGGTGTGTCCCTGCCCGAGTGTGGCAGGCTGGGACCCAGCTGCCCTCGGCTGGCCTTTGTCCCTAATCCTTGCTCTCACACCCGACAAGGCTGCTGGGATTTCAAAACCTTCCCTTCCAGAGGCACAGCACTGAAGGGCACCGTGTCCCCGTGGTGGCCACAACTCCACTGAGTGTGCACACATGGCACAAGGTTGGCAGCACGTGAGCCACCACCTCGGCCCTCTGCCTGCGGCCCCTGCCCTGGATTCCGGCTACTCTGGCTCACAGCCCCCGGGTTGCCCACTAAATGACTTTTTGGGGACTAGGCCTGCCAGCCACAGGGCTTCACTGGCTTTGAAGTGCTCCATCCTCTGAAGCCACCGTGCCGGGCTGCCTCCTGTCCACAGCCACTCCCTGTGCTACATGTGGGCTCAGAGGGCAGCAAGGCTGCAGCTCTGCCCGGCGTCCCAGCCTGACCATGCCCCAGGAGGCCCACCCCGCCCTGCCAGGAGACCTACGTGGGTGATGGAGCCCCGGTAGGCGCTGGGGCTCTCGGAGGGCCCCCGCGTGCTGGGTATGCCCCTGGTGATGCTCCCGCCCGCAACGGAGCCCAGAGATGTCCCTGCAAGACATGAAACACGGGCGCTTTGGGTGTCTGCAGCTGCCCCCCAGGGCCCAGGTTAGGGGGTGGCCCAGGGGCAGATGGTGGGGACCCAGGGACAGAGGCTGGGGACCTAAGGAAGTGGTCCGGGGATGTCGGGATCCATGCTGGGGGTGATATGGGGCAGGGGCTGGGGACCTGGGGAGGGGGCCAGGGCTGCTGGCGATGGCCCTCACCTCTCAGCACAGACATCTCCTGGGCCGTGGGTGCGCCCAGGCTCTCGGGTGGGCCAGCCTGGCCCCGTGGCGACAGCTGTTCTTGCTTCACCCCACTAAAGGGCGCTGCAGACCAGCGAGAGGGTGGGCCATGAGGAGCAGCCCACCAGTCCTCATCCCAGGGCTGCTGCCCGGGCCTGCGGGCGCGAGGCCCCCCACAGGCATCCGGCCAGGACTGCTGGGCTGCCCACTGCTACCTGCCCACTGCTACTGCCCACAGGCCCAGACTCCCACCCTCACGCCCAATGCAAGGCCACCAGGTGGGCAGGCCCAGGTCCTCACCAAGCTTCTTGGGGTCCATGGTGAGGGGCAGCCCCATGCTGATGGGGCCCACGGGGGCCTTGGCGTGCTCGGAGTATGGGACGTGGAGCTGGACCGACATTCCCTGCACGGCCAGAGTGTCGGGTCACAGTGGCCCTCAGCCAGAGTAGCCCAGCTGACCCTGGGTTGACCCTGGCCTGAGGCTTGAGAGGGCTGCAGTCCACCCTGTGTGCACCGGTGTGACCGCACTCAGGCAGCATCCAGCCCTCCCCTCCCTGGTGCAGTTCAACGAAAACGGTAGGCAGAAGCAGCCCAGGCCGAATGGACGCCACATTCCTGACCTGGCTACACTGGGGGCGGGGTGGGGGGGGATAGCCCAAGAGGTGCTGGGCAGCTGGCCACACACCAAGCGCTCACCCTGAGAAGCCCTTCACTTCTATTAATCCACCCACCATTGAACAGACGGCAAGCTGAGGCCAGAAGCCCTGACTCGCCCGCATGAGGCCACGGTGCGCTGGCTGCCCCATGAGCGACCTCCAAGGACCAGAACCCAGGTGTCCAGGGCAGGCACAGACCCAGCACTGAGTGCAGGGACCCGGACCCTAAGGAACCCAGTGCTCCAGAGCCCCACCCCATAGGTGGGCAGACTCAGTTCCTAGGGGGAGGGGCCACACCCGGGCACCTGGCCACAAAGCCGCTCCACAATGCCTCTCACCTGGGAGATGGCACCCATGTGCCTCTCGAGGACGCCGGGGTGTTTGGTGGAGGAGATGAGGGGAGGTGGGTTGGAGATGGTGGGTGGGCGTGGCAGGACAGGCCGGGCACTGTCGTGGAGGCCCAGGGGCAGCGGGTGACCTGCAGGGCACATGTCTGCTGTGAAGACCCACAACCCTGGACACCCTCCACCTCCCTTGTGCCGACAGGAGATCCCTGGCTGGCCCCCAAACCTTCTCCAGGTTCTGGACCAGGGCAAACAGCCAGGGCCCAGTGGCTGAGGCCGGGCTGGTTAAGTGTGTCAGCCAAGAAGCCGAGACTGGACCAAGCACTCACCAGGTGGTGTGTAGGCAAAGGCTGAGGGGTCCGGGGCATGTGGGGAGGCCTTGATCACCTCCCGAGGGGGCACAGGGAAGGGCAGGCCGGAGGTCCAGCAAGGGGGCTCTGCAGGCAGCTTCTGGCCCTCGGCTGCGAAGGCTGGGAAGAACGCAGGCTTCTCTGTGGAGGGCGTGAGGTGGGCAGTCAGGTGGTGCCCAGCTGCCTGCCTCTGGGACCCCCGCAGCCCTGGGCGCCCTCCTGCCTGCATCCTAGAGGCTGTGCTGTGCCCCTGTGACCTGCTCAGCATGGATGCACAGGAGGTACCTTGGGGTTGGGGCCACCCTTGAGACCACAGGAACCTCTGGGGACAGGAATGGGCAGTTGGCACTGAGGGCACAGAACCAATGCCAGGGAGCGAGAGGGCCTGGGGTGCCACTCTCACCAGGGCAGGGCCCCTCTCTGAACTCATCTCCCGCAGACTGGGAGGCTGGGCCGAGGTGTCCACAGAGGGGGCTGCGGCTCGCTGACCGGGGTGCCAGTCATCACAGGGACAGCCATCTGCTGAGCAAAGTGCCAGCACCATGCTGAGCCTGGTCCAGCAGAGGCACCTCTATCAGGGCTAGTGGAAAGTGGGGTCCCCAACGAGGCCCTCTGTGCCCGCAGCCCTTGGATGGGCAGCTGGCACTGAGGTCCAGCTTCCAGCCTTCGCGAGGTCCCTGAAGGTGCCCAAGGGTGACAGCCAGACACAGCAGCAGTCACAGCTGATAAGCGGCCAGGTCAGGATTTGAACCGGTGTGGCGGTCAATGGTGACAGGAATTGCTGCCCTCCTAGGGCCTCCTCTAGACCGACGCTGAGCACGTCAGCCCAGCTGTCCCCACAACACCCTCCAGGGCCATGGGTACGGTCCCTGTTTCATAGACAGGAAAACTGAGGCCCCAGATACCAGGTGGGAGCTTCGAGGCAGGAGGCTCAGCGCCAGGCCTGGCTCTTCCCCCCCCTGGCCACCAGAAGAGTAGCCACGCATGACCCTCAACTGACAAAGCCAGGGGCCCTGGGCTCAGGTCTGCCTTCACAGTGTCCCCCCACTGGCCCCTGGCCCTATGCTGAGTCGGTGCTAAGCTCTAGACAGATGCTAGGGGGCAGGGGTAACTAGTTCAGAGGTGGAGAGGGACACAAAGTGGCAATGAGGGAGGTCTGGGGCCTGGGGGTAGGGCAGGGGAGTGCCAGGATGGATCAGTGATGCCCGCTGTGGGCATGGCCTGGGAGGGCAGCCTGCAGGCTGCAGAGTGGACCTTGCCTCCTACGAGACGTGGCGCTTCCCTGCACTGTGTGCTGGAGGGCAGATGCCGTGGGCAAGGGCAAGGGCACAGGGGGCCTCACTGGGGACCCCACTTTCCACTAGCCCTGGTGGAGGCGCCTCTGCTGGGCCAGCCCAGGCCAGGAAGCTCTGAGAACACCCTGGCTGGCCACACTGGCCAGCCCCCGCCCATCTCCTCAGCTGCTCTCCACTCTGGAGGGCGGGGGAGGAGGCCTGGGTCTGGGAGGGACTTGGGGCCTGGCCGGGCTGGCGGGCAGCCGAGGGCTGGGAGACAACCTGCTCCTCCAGCTGGGCCCAGGGGAGCCTTGGGGGGCCTGCTCTGCAGAGGGGCTGGGGCCAGGGCGGGGGGCTGCTTCCTGAGAAATGAGAGGGTCCTGGGGGAGCCAAGCTGCCGACCAGACCAAAGATGCCAAGAGCCTGCGCCAGGTGCGCCATATCTGTGGAAAACCGCGCCTAGGAGCCGGCCCAGGCCCGAGCTCATGGAGACCACGGCTGGTGGCTGCTCTTCCCCGGGGGCTTGTGACCCAGCCCAGCTGGCTCTGGCTGGCCCCATGTGGTTCCTGCCCCACTCCAGCTGACACCAGCCCGAGCTGTCCAGGTCCCTGACACATATACACAGCTGTCCCCAGGCTCTTGTCCTGAGTCTGGAATGTCCTTCCAGAGAGTACCCTGCATCACACCCCTCACCTGTCCCATGCGGCCACCCCTCCCGACAGGCACCCCAGCCCAGGGAGACAGCTTGGCCACACCAGGCGGCCACCGGGTCCCCGGCCTGTCTCTGAAACCAGCTCCAGATCCGTGCTTCCTCCTGTGTCCAAGGCCAGGCACCTAGTCCAGGCCACCTCACTGTGGCCTTGTGCCTCTGCCTAACCCTGTGGCCCTTCTTGTCCCCCAGCAACCTGAGAGATGTTTCCAACACAGGGGCCCAGCTGTGCATCCCTCCCCAGTGCCCACTCACCGGAGGCTTTGCTGCTGCGAGACAAAACTCCCGTCCATGGCCCACATCAGGGCCTCCGCCTGAACAGCCCTGCCCACGGCCTCGCAGCTGGCCCCTCACACTCCCTAGAGAGGCCTTCCCTGCCCTGGTTGCTGGCCCGCCTCCCTCTAAACACTCTCCTGCGTCCTGTTCTGCTCAGAATCCCCTCAGCAGCTCCCAGAGCAGGACATTCAGCCTCTGGCCACCAGATCTCCACTGCCAAACACAACCACAGGCATCCCACCTGCCCTGCCCAGGAGGAGGGTCAGGAGGCTCCTGCATGCTGCTAGGGGTGCTTGTCCACCCTCCCCAGAAGCCTTCGCAGCACGTGAAAATGGCCACGGGGAGCATAGGGTGGGCATCCATCACTACCACCTCCCAAGGCTGTCCATGGCCAAGGGCCAGCTGGGCTTCCTCAGGAGATGCTATGACGGAGGCTGGGGAGGGGCAGCGGGCAGTGGTCCCAGATGAGTCTTGCTGGTCACGGAGACCAGCCTCTGGGCCTGCTGCTTTGGACCCCTGTGGCCAGCAGGTGCAACCTGGGGTCGGTCATGTGACGATCCCCACATGAGCCTTAGTACTTGCTGCCTGTCAGGCCTTGGGAAGGGGGAACGGTTTGGGAACAGACTCGGGAGTCCTTGGTCCAGATGAAACGGGCAGAAACAAGATGCAGAGGGCAGAAAAGCTGGCCTCAGTCTGCTGACCCAGGCCTTATGGTGACAGCGCAGCCAGGGGTCTGCCTGGTTCCCTGGTGGGCACGGCAACCTCACCCCAGAACAAGGTCCAGGCAAGAGCCGTAGAGGGTAGCATGCCACGCCAGCTGGGCACCCGGCCTCATTTGGGGTTCTTGGACAAGTCACCCCGGTGGGGGCTACGGATGCGGTTCTGCACGGGACCATGCTCTGGACACATGGAGGAGTGCCCGTGGAGAATGAGGATGTCGCATGAAAAGATGGCCCCGAGGGCCACCCAGGCCCTACCTGCCCTGCAACATGGGTGGGCCCACGTGTGCCCACCAAGAACAAGCACCAGCTCTCCAGACGGCCACCATCCCTAGCTGCAGGCCTGGACTTTCCCACTGTCCCCGGAGACGCCCTCCGGCCCTCCTCGAGGGCACACTCACCCTCCTTCTCGGCGGGAGGCGCGGGGCTCCTGCTTTTTACTGGAGGACTGGTGCTGGGCGGCTGGGCAGGGCCACCCTCCGGCTGTAGGTGCTGTGGGGTCGCTGGGGCAGAGGGACTTGGTTTAGGGGGTGCTGCCTCCTCCCGGGGTGGCTCATGGACCTTGGTGACCTGCTGGGGAGTGAGGGAAAAGTGAGTGTCCTTGTAAAGGGTCTGAGGTGACAGGTCAGTGAGTGTCTTGCATGGGCCAGTCTGGAAGTCAGAGCCCAGAAGGGGCAGTGACATACTCAAGGTCATATGCAGGGTCAGAGGAGAGCTCTAGCACAAAGCATAAGGGGTCACCACCCAGCTTCAGGAGAAGGGCCCGTCCCAGCTGCCGGGTGGGGTGGGCAGCTAGGGCCCAGCTCCACTCCCCGCCCACCTCCATCCCTAGAACCCAAATTCCACAGAGATCAGGGATGGGAAAAGGGCAGTGCTGACCCTGGGGTGTGGCAGTGTGGCCTGGCATGTCCAGTGCCCAACACTTGGAGCCCCCCAGTGCCCATCTCTTGGAAGGAGCACCTCTGAGGCCCACAGGCCTGGCCTGGCTAGGAGACTGTCCAGGGCTGGAGGCTCCTCAAGGGCCCTCAGTGAACTAGGGCAGCTCCCTGCTCCCATGGACTAGTCTGGGGCCTCAGGGGACCCATGCAAGGAGGAGTAGGTTGCAGCTGGCTCCCGGGGCGGGGGTCTAGGACGACCCGCGGGCTGCAGGCTCCCGCCTCCCCCCCCCACCCGCCCCGTCCACAGCCCCTCCCCGGGGACCTCCTCAGGAAACAGGAGGCAGGAGGAGCAGCCGCAGGTGCAGACTCCAGCCCACCCGCTGCTGGGAACAGGAAGTCGGGGGGGGGGCTCCCACTCACAATGGGGGGGATGGCGGCCGCCCGCTGCTTCAGCTGCTTCAAGTCCAGTGGCTTCTGAGGTGACGTGTTGGCCCTGGGATCACTGGTTGGGGTCAGGAGGCTGGGCCTTGGGGACAATAGCCTGTGGGGAGACAGGCGTCAGGCCACTTGGGGCTCTCGCTCTGGGCTGGCTCTTCTGATCCCATGGTCTCAGCCCTGGGTGCTGGGGCAGGGAGGGACCTGCCAGAGAAGCCCTGAGAGGGACCAATGACCAGCGTCACCCAGCCAAGGCCAACTGTTTCTCCTGAGGAATCTGGCCGCACAGAGGGGAACACTTCTCTGCTCCATGCAGCCCTCACTGTGGCCAAGACTGCCTTTGACCCAGCCCAGAGGCCAGGAGACAAGGCATGGACAGAGGCCCAGGCCAGGACCACATGGCCCCCAGGAGAGCCCCAGGCAGGGACACACCAGGGGCCCAGACAAGCCGCCATACCGGGCAGAGCCGCCAGGAAGCCAAAGGCCCAGGCAGACCAAGGCAGAGGGTGATGGTAACTTATGGAGGTCACTACCCACCCAAGCCTGAGTGATGTGGTGCCGGGTCAGGGCCCTGGGCACGGAGCCCAGTCAACAGGTGGCGGGGGGCTGGACCCCTGCACACCACCCCACGAGCAAACAGGTGAGCCTCGGCTTCCTGCTTAGGAGCGGGCAGTGTGTCCAGCCGGCGGCCACAGCGGCCGTCCCGAGGGGCTTAGGGCTGTCACCTCCTTCAGCTCTATGAGTCCCCAGCACATAACTGCTGTGTGGCTCCTCCTTGGCAAGGGACATCTGAGGCAGAGCGGCCTCCTCTAGCGGGGTGCATCGGCCGGGCACAAAGCAAGCCCCACTGGCCTGGGCACTGGGGCAGGCAGACTCGTCCCCACCCTAGGACTTCAGAATTGCAGGGTTTGATTAGACATGAGATGCGTGAGGGCAGCCACCTTGGGCTGCAATGCCAAGCTAAGTTGGGGGTCCCCAGAATCCACCCGTGGGTAGATAGCCGTGCACCGTGGCTGTGTTGGTGATGTCACACGCAGGTGGAAAGCCACAGCCATTGCCTCCCAGGAGAGAGCGTGATGATCAGGACACGGTTCTTGCCACCCACCCTGCCCCAGTGAGGAGAAATGCCACCTTTCAGCAGATGGGGTGGGCAGATGCCTGTCTCCACCCTGCTGCGGCAAGACCATGGGCATGTGACAAGCCGGCCCTGTGGATACCAGCCTCCTGCCCGCATCTGCCACATGCCTGGCTGAGCAGGGAAAGCAGACAGACCGGGTGATGCCTGCTGAAGCTGCCTGCGGCATGCAGGTGGGGCCAGCCGAGGAAGGTCACCCTGACTCCTGCGGCAGGCAGCCCGCCCGCCCGCCCCCCCTCTGTCCAGATCCCCAAACCTTGCTGCTGCCCTTCCTGGCTCTATGGCCCGGGCCCGAGGTGAGCCCTGCCCTGGGGCCACACAGGATGCTACCCCCAGCCGTGCACTCCCCGCCCCCCAAATGTCCACACTCCCAGGTGGCTCATTTACCATCCTGCCTTGGAACTGGCTGGCACTGGTCACCTCAACTCCCTAGCTGCTCAGAAGGCAGTCTGGAGGCTCCTCAAAGGCCTAACCCTAGGTGTCCCTATGACCCAGCAATGCCATCTCCAGGTGTGCGCTCCGGGCATGCGTACAGTGTCCACACAAAGGCACCCACCTCCGCGCAGCTGCCCCTCCCAACGGGGTAGCCAGAGAACAGGGGCAGTGGACGCCCAGCAGCAGGGGCCCCGCCAGCCTCACGAAGAACAGCAGAGAACAAAACGCCGGACAGCCTGAATGTCCACTCAGACTGAGCACAAGGACAAGACGGGCCATGTGGAGCACTACGGGGCCTAGGAAGGACCAGGAGGTGGTGCCTGCCACAGTGTGGGCGAGCCTCCTGGATGGCAGAGCCCCAGGCTGGGACTGCGCGCCCATGTACCTGGCAGGCCGATCCTGGCACAGGGAGCAGCCAGGGGCTGCTCAGGGCTGGGAGAACACTGGGTGGTGACAACGCCATTCCTCAGTGGTGGCGGCTGTGTTAGAGACCACTGGATGGAGTCTGTGGCCCGTCTCTGCGAGGCTGTCACACGAGGAGCCCAGGGCCCCACGAAGCAGCTTCTTTCCTTCGTGGATGGGAAAGTGGCTCACGGCAGGAAACCCACAGTGAGAACCTCAGAGCTGGAACTCTGACTCCCCGCACCCCGTCTCTCTCGGTCCCCAGGCAGGGAGGCAGGTCTCCTCCAAGGGCCTCTGCTTCCCGGGGGCGGGAGGGGCTGCCCCTCCAACCTGTCAGCAGGCCCTCCTGGGGACACTGGGAGACCCAGAGCCCTCTTTATGAGCCCCCCCCCCACAGTGAGGTGGGGACTGGAAGGAACTGGGCTCAGGGAACAGCACTACAGACTCCCAGAGGCCTCCTGACCCCAGCCAGACCTCTCAGGGGCAGAAAGGGCAGAATCCAACCCAGAGTCTGGGTTCAAAGCTGTGGGGAGTCTGAGGACAAGGCCCTGGGGAGGGGGGGAGGGAGAAGGGAGGAAGGGAGGGGAGGAGGCAGAGGCCAGGGCTTACAGCCCTCCCTGCGCTCAGGCCCAGTCCTTCCACTCTCCTCTTTTTCCTCCTGAAAGATGGTGCTTTTAGTCTCCTCCCTGGGGGCAGGCTTGGAGCACGTGACCAATGGGTGCTGCCCATCAGCCCTCCGCTGCAGTGGAGGCTCCCCCTGCAAATTCCTCCGAGCCAAGCACGCCTCAGCATCTTGGGGTGCCCACAGGAGAGGAGGGAGGCCAGATGCTGAGGAGGGCTGGGGACCACTGTGGACGGCCAGGGCAACAGGGGTCAGGGCTCATGGGCAAGGAGCACTGGATAGGGCCCGTGCATCCCTATCCTCCTGGGGCTAGCTCAGATCCCATCATCACTGGGCTGGATGGCCCTTGCCACCAGTCATCCTGGGACTGAGAGGGCACTACAGCTGGCCTGTGAGTGGCATCTGCAGTGGCAGCTCTTGCAACTGCCCACTTTCTGGGCCCCGAGGAGGATCCCTGGCTTTCCTCCCCACTCCACCCTGGGTCCTCCCTGTACTCGCCTCTCCTCCTCCCCACCTACTGAACATGAGCTCATGAAGCCACAGGACCTTTGCAGGGCTGTCCCTCCCCACACTAAGGCTCTGACTGTCTGCGAAGGTCCCCTCCTAAGAGAGGCCTTCCCACGGCCCCTCCTCTCCCCACCCGTGTCCCCCATAGCAACCTCGTCTCCTTGCACTCCCGCTTGTGTGGCTGCTGTGGAGTCAGGGAGTCCCCGAGCCAACACATGGGGAAAGCCTTGCCCACTGTACAGATGGCCAAATCAAAGAAAGGGACCTTGCCAAGCTCTCCACAAAGCTGTTCAGGCCCCTTCTCTGGGGAGATGACCAGCAAGGCAGGCAGCCTTGGGCTCCGCAAGCAAAGCCACCACCTCTGGTGTTCACTAAGAGACTCCTAGGCACGGTCACCTTGCAGGAACGCGGAGGGAGGTGGATGGTTTCCCTCAGTCACCAGACAGGGTCTAGGGGCCATGCGAGACGCATACTGCGTCCATCCAGGGCGCAAAGCTCACTGGGCTGGGCCTGCTGGTGGGAGTGAGGGCAGTCGTGGGCGGGCGGCCAGGGCCTGGGCTTGCCTGGGGCCCACCAGCCTGGGCTCTCCCCAGGAGGCCCTGGCTGCGGGGCCTGCTCTGACGCATCTTGCCTGCATCCTCCGGTGCCCTCATGGCCCTGCGTGGTCACAGCTGGCGGAGAAGGGATGGCGGGCTGCCAGCCAGGAAGAGGCCGCAGGCTGGCCCAAGTCCAGAGGCATCCGCCAAGAGGACAAGACAGGCCCCAGGACGGGGACTAGTCCGGTCACACAGGGTGTGACAAGCCAGGTGTCCTGACTCCCAGCCCAGGGCTCCTGTTCCCTGGGGGCTGAATGCTGGCCATGAGGCAGGAAGGGGGATGGCTTCCAGATCCCACTGCAGGAGGGAAGGGCATGTCCCTGGCAGGCCTGTCCGAGGATGGGGTGGAAGAGGACCCCAGGGGGCACCAGGCCCAAGGGCTACTGGGATGCAACCTCCAGCTGTCCAGCCTGGGAAGGCCACGTGGACTCTAGACACAGCCTCTAGGAGGCCACTTATCAGCAGACTGCCCACAGCTCAGCACTCTTCCTGGGAGCAGGACGTGTTTCCAAGGCTCTGAACTCACAGCCAGCGGAGCTGGGCGCACAGCAGTCCCCCTGCCTGCTCCCCAGCTCAGGCCCTGGCCTCCGCCCTTGGGGGACCCGCCCTGCCCTGAGCACTGTTTTCCAAGCCACGCCTGTCGGGCAAGAGGTTCAAGAACTTGGTGCCTTCAGAAACCTGCAAGCCAGGTCTTTGCCCAGCCAAGGGCTAGGGTCAGGCCATGAGCGCACGTGTGCGGTGAGGTTCCCATCTGTCGGGGCCCCAGGGACCAGGCGCAGGAGGCAGGGACAACAGAGACACCTCCTTTTGAGGAATGCAGGGGCCCTAGGCGCTGCAAGGATCTCTGTACCAATGGGCCTGGCCCCTCCACCACGCCCAGGGTGAATCATGCGGTGCAAAGGCCCTGCGTGGACCTTGAGGTCAGCGTTTCCTCCCTTGCGCTGCCCGGAACTTTTCCGAGACTCCAGAAGAGAAAACAGTCCGCACTGTTTTTAGTCAAAACACAATGACCCGCCTGCCTCGCTGGACACGGCTCCTGGCCATCCAGACACCGCGGCCTCCCGGCTCTCCCTCCAGTGCCCCATGGCCCTGAGCGGGTGGACGGCCTCGGGTGTCAGCACCTGTACTGGAGGGCTAGGTCCTCCGTGTCGGCCAGGGCAGGGGCCCTTGGAGCAAGTGCACCACGACAGGAAGACCCACTGCCAAGGCGCGTCCCTGGCCAGCGTGGGTCCCTCCAATTGCCCAGTCGCAGGGCACCCCTTGGGGACACCCCTACCTGCTGCACCCAGAGCCCAGGCTGGGGAGCTGAGTGGCCCCACTCTCCTGAACCCTGGTGGCTACCAACTGTGGTGGTCCGTCACACCCCAGGACACCAGATCCCAATCATCCTGCCTGACCCACTCAGCTCCACACATGGCAGCTGGCCGGCTGCAGAGGGCAGACCATGGCCCAGGCTCTCGGGCACCTGGAGTCCTCCCACTGCCCTAAATGAGTTGGGCAGCTTTTGGGCCTCTGTACCTGCCATTGCCACCAAGAGCAGGACAGGAGGGGGTCCCCAGATGCTCAGGTGATCACCCCGATACCTGCGCCAGTGACCTTGTGAGCTGCTGCCCAGCTGAGGGCTGTGGGCGGCCACCAAGGCGGGTGGGGCAGGGGGACCCTCCTGCAGGGCTGTCAGAGGAGCAGGTCCTGTGCGCACCTGGGCACAGCAGTGCTCCCTAGGCACAGGAGGGTCCCAGGGGTCCTCCTGCAGGGCAGGTGACCGCAGGGCTCCCTTCCACCTGCTCCTCAGAGCCGAGAGGCCGTGAGGGGCCAGCGCTCCCCACAGCCCCCAGGGCTCTTGCTTTCCAGGTCCCACTCGAGCCCACACCCGTCCCTCCATGGCCACAGGCGCTGGGGACAGGCAGGGCTGGCCTGAACCCACGGAGCTCGGAAGCCCTCGAGGGGGCCGCCCGGGCTACTCACCGGCTCTTGTCCCCTCCCTCGGGCTCGTCCACCTCGTCGGCACTGCAGGTGGCACTGGAGTCGCTGTCCTGGGGGGCGCCCGAGGCCTTGGCGGGGGCTCTGCGGCTCCCGCCCTCCTTCTTCTCCACCTTGAGCGGCCCCTCGGGTGCAGCCTCCGTGCTGGCCTCCCCAGCCCTGGCCTTGTCCGGGCCTTCCTCCTCGGCCTCCTCCTTGCAGTCACCCTGCTCGGGCTCCTCGGGGACTGAGCCAGACTCTTCCATCTTCCCCGCGTCCCCCTCAGGCTCCTCGGCCACAGGGGGCTTCTGTTCCTCCCCCTCTTCTGCTGGGGGTGCCACAGTGGCCTCCTCCTCCTTCTCCTCCTTGGGGGCCGCAGGAGGGGGCACCGCGGGTGACACGGGTGCAGGTGGGGGCGTGGGGGGGCCACTGGCGTCTGCAGCTGGGGTGGGCTGGGCAGGGGCTGGGGCGTCCTCAGGCGGAGGAGTGGGCGGCTCAGCGGGGGTCCCAGCAGCACCCAGGGCCGGCGGGGGCTGGGGCCCACTCTGCCCCGCATCCTTGGTGGCCTCGGTGCGGGGGGAGGGGATGCTCTCCGTGTCGGAGCTGTTGTTGACGGTAGCTACACGGAATAGAGAGGGATGAGCAGGGGGACCGGGCCTGGGGCCAGGAATCAGGCCCGGTTCTGAAAGGCCTCCAGGCCCCACCCGAGCCCCAGTGCGGCTCTGCCCCCATTGGCTGGCACCCTGGGAGGGGTAGGGACACCTCTCGAGAATAGCGCCTGGCCCACAGGTGGACAAGCCAGCAAGGGGCAGTGCAGGGGGCTGCCTGTGGAGGACCACGGCCGTCAGGCACCCACCAACACCTGGCAACATGCAGAGGTCAGGTGCGTGAGGAGGTGGTGGGGACACCACAGGGCAGAGGAGGGCCTGGCTGGGGACTGGACACCTGCGCGCCATCTTTGGGTCTCAATATGCCCCATCTTCTGTAATCAAGCAGGTCAGGGGAGCAGGCCAGGAGGGTCCCCAGGGCCAATCCAGGAAAGGTGGGAAGGCTCCCCACAAGGCAGGATGCGCAGGAGCAGGCCGGGGACAGCAGGGAACGGGGGCAGGCAGGGGCTCGGGGTGGCGGCCCACAACAGCAGGGCTCCCAGGCACAGTGGGGTCCCAGGGGGCCTCCTGCAGAGGACAGATGATTACGGGGCTCCCTCCCACCTGAGCCCTGCCCGCGGGGCCAGCCCGCCACGTTCCTACCTGGGCCACTGCATTCCCCTCTGGGCACCTCGTTCCCAGAGGCGTGGACAGCTGGAAGGAAGTCAAGACGGTCAGAAGCCAGGTGCCCACGGCGCCCCACCGCCCCCCACAGCCCTGACCCATGACCAACATGCCCCCCGTGGTGCTAGTCACCAGCAGCTATAGGACTCGCAGCAACTCCAGGCAGGCAGGTCCAGGCCTGTCCATGGCCGGGCAGTAACAGGGCCACACAGGATGGGCAGCAAGGTCTGGCCCCTCTGAGAGGCCTTCCATGGGTCCAGGTTCCCAGGACCCCAGGGTGGGGTTTGGAGGGACAGGCCAGCAGGGACTGCTACGGCCCACAAGCAATCTCCCTCCAGCCTCCTCTGTCCCCCACTGTCCCTGGGCACTTCCTGCTTCTCTCCTCCCTCCAGAGTCTGGAGAAGGGCCACCTCCCCTTCCAGAAATGACACCAGTTGACACAGACGTGCGACCACACTAAGCTGCACGCGAAGCCTGTCACACGTGACAACCGAGCTCGACAGCCGCCAGGAAGGACAGCGAGCCCTCCATCAAGATGAGGAGACTGGGGCACGGAGAGGCTGAGCCAGTTGCTCAAGGCCACAAAGTAAGGACACAGGGTGTTGAACCTGGTGGCCAGTGTCCCTAACCACTGGACTTCCTCCTTCCCTGTGTGGTGACTCCCCTTCACGGTGGGACAACAGAGCACAGGAGCTGACCATGCCCCATAGACAAGTGTCTAACCCTCTGAATCACAGTTTGTTCCCCGTTGCTCTGAAGAGGCCTTCACCAGAGGCCCTCAGGGGACAGCACAGCGAGGATCCAGCAGGTGCAGCGAGGGGCTGAGAACCAGCACCTCTAGCAAGCGTCCAGGGGCACTGCTGCCTGGGGAGAGCATCGGCCTCCTCATCCATACCCGGGATGAGCCACCTCCTCCTCCAGGCTGTGTGACAACGGGGGACCAGCTCAAGACTGCCTGGCAGGGAGCACAGCACAGGTCCTGGGGGAGCGGGCCTGGGCCACACGTGCCCCCACCCCACCAGGGCTGCAAAGCGCTGCTGGTGCTGGCCGGGTCTTCTGGGAGGCTCTGCGGGGCAGCCCGGCCCCCACCCGGCCCTCCTCAGCCCTGACCAGCTGGGTGCCAGGCTGTAGCTGTGGGGGCTCCGAGGTGACATCGGAGCCTCAACCCTGGCAGACGGGTCCTGCCCCCACCCCACGTGAGCTCTGCAGCTGGAGACCTGCCACCCTGGCTCCTGGCCGACACGGCGGGGCCTGGCTCCCCTCCACCAGCCCGGGCTTGCCCACAGGGACAGCAGGAGGGGACAGAGGAGGAGGATGCCTGAGGGCCTGGCGCTCCTGGCTGCCCTGGGGAGCGACCTACAGCAGGGAGGCAGCCAGACCTGTCCCTGCCCCGCCCCGGACTTGGACCCAAGCATCCGGAGGACCTGATGACCCTGTTCCACCCGGAAGCGGGCACCTGGGGCAGAGTGCGGTCCACCTGAGGCCGGGCTGGCGCCTTCCTTCCCCAGGCTTCTGGAGCCCAGAAGACTACACATGGGGACAGAGAGCTACAGAGGGAGCCCCCGACAGGTGGCAGGCCCTGAGGGCTGGCGGGGTGCTGTGGCCAGGGGACTGGGCAGGGGGCCCGGCTAAGCAGCAGGTCCTCAGAGGTGCTCTAGGGGTAGGTGGGGACAGGGCTGCCATCAGCTCCGACAGGGAAAAAGGGGGCAGGGTGGGGGTCGCGGTGTACAAGGCGGTCCCTGGGGACATGGGGTCAGGTGTCAGGGTCTACAGACACCAGGAGCCAGAGCGCGTCTTACAGGGCCCATCTCTGCCACTAAGGGGGTGTGACAATCTCCTGTGACCAAATCCTATCTTCTGAGTTGCAAAGGTTGCCTGGTGGCCCACACTGTCACCTTACTCTGTCCCCATGCTCCCCCGCCAAGCCCGTGAGGACTCCACTAGGACAGCTGGCTGGGTGCAGGTGTGACCTGGGGCCCTGAGCTGCCTGCACCTCGGTCCCACGGCATGAAGCGGCGCCATCATTGCCCACCTGAGCCTGGACTCAGGAATAGACAGAGGTGCGGGCAGCGCAGCTCCGGGGTCCGCGTCCACTAAAGCCGCTGACTAGACCCAGCTCCCCCCAGAAACCACCTCAGAAAGTAAATCCACTGCCAAGAGGTGGCACGGGACAGGTGGCAGGTAGCACGGTCCCAAGTGCGGGGTGTCCTCTGCTGGCCCAGGGGGACGTCACCAGGGGGACGTCACCGGAGGAGCTGTCACGGCCACTCACAGCCACTGCCCCGGGCTGCTGTACCAGCTCACCTTCTGCCTCCTCAGCCATCTCCTCCTCGTTCCCGCTGACACCCGAGGCCTCCATCTCCTCGTCCTCCACCACGGGTGGGAAGGCCGCCTCCTCGCTAGCCGCGGCCGGGGCTTTCTTCTTCTTCCTCCGGGCATTCCTCTCCTTCTCCTAGGGCACCGGACAGCAGGGCTCAGGGCCGCAGCCAGGGCTGGCCGCCCAGGGCCGCAGCCAGGGCTGGCCGCCCGGGGCCTCCCCAGGCCTAGGACCTGGCTGCAGCTGCAAGGGACAGGAGCAGGGCCACCTCCCCCACCTTCTACTCAGGGCCACATGCCAGGGGCTATTTCTACCAGGGCTTCCTTCGTCCACCCCGTCCTGGGCACACCCCGGCACGGCCCCAGCCACACTGCCCTTCCCAAGTGGGTGAGGACCTGGAGGACCCGCAGCGCAGAGACCACACCCCCGGGCCCCTATGGGCCCCGCCGGTCGGTGGGCAGCTGGCCCAGGCCAGGCCAGCACGGGAGGGCCTGGTCTCAGTCCCTGTGGCCTATAGGCCTGCAGAGGGGCCGCGGGACACAGGGCGTGAGGCAGGCAAGGCCGCGGCCCTCAGGGTGGTCGGGAAGAGCTACAAAACCCCCTGGAAGACACAGGTGTCGGCAGGGCCCTGGGAGGGTCAGGGCTGTGTCCTCTAGGTCCTCACCCACTCAGGAATGGGGCACAGGGTGTGGGCCCGAGGGCTGCTTGGGAGAGGACGGCCAGGGAGGGAAACTGCAGGGAGCTGGCACGAGAATCAAGACCTGAGTGGAGAGAGAACTGGCCGGGCACAGTTCTGAGAGTGCAGCCCGGGGAGGGCACTGCACATGCAAAGGCCCTGTGGTGCCACAGATGGGCGCATTCGAGGAACAGAAAGAAGCACGTGTGGCAAAGCCTCCCGCTGGCTGCACCACGCTCCGTGCCCCCTCCCTGCCTCCTCCCTCACACGGAGCCAAGCCCTCGCCCTCCTGGCATGCTTGGGGACAGATCCTGTCCTTGTTCCTCTCCCAGAGGGACATCTCCCCTCACCAAGCCAGGCTGAGCCCAGGAGGCACCTGCCCTGTGACTCACTGGCTTCCAGGCAGCCATCAGCTCGGGGCGTGTGTGGAGAGGGCCTGGGGGCCAAGGGCCAGGGACTCCAGGGAGTGGCCTGTGTCCCCAGCCTGCAGTGACAGAAGGGACGCAGCCTGAGCGCTCCGGGGTCTCCGGGAAAGAGGACAGAAGCTACGAGATGCCTAAGACCACCCTACGCAGAAAGGCAGCACCTGCCCCCGGAGCAGATGCCCGGCCAGGCTGGAGGCAGAACTCAGGGGAGCAGGGGTCACGCTCCAGATGTCCCCGGGGGCAGCTGCAGCCCGGGGTGGGACCCCTTCCTGTCTTGTCCCCTTCCTGAGTGGACAAGGTCCCAGTGTGGCCACTGGGAGGGCCAGAGGGAAGGGGAAGCGTTTGCCTGCTGGTTAGTCAGAGTTTCCGTCACCAACGCTTGGCCAGAGGGCCACAGCCCCACCCTGCCCAACGTCCACAGCCCCATTACGGGGATGCCCAGCTCTGCTGCCCACACAGGCCCCCAGTGCGGCCTCAGCCCTCCCTCCTCGAGCCCTTCCTGGGAGGGCTCCTGGCGCGAGCCCGGAGGCACGGGATCGTGGCCTGCAGCTCTGTGGTGCGAGGCCCCGGGTCCCCTCGCTTCCCCAATCTATTTCTAGCCGACAGGGACTCGGGCACGCGCTGCGCTGGGTGATGTGGGCGACCGCTGCCCGGGCAGCGTGGGCACAGGGCACGCCACGGCCTGGCAGGAACGGGTCACCCAGCCGATACAGTGTCCTGGAGACGAAAGACCCTCTCTAGGGAGGTCACTGAGCCCTGGACACAGGTGGTTAGGTGGACGCCCCGAGGGCCCCGGAGGCTGGCCTGGGTGGCCCTCCTGCGGCAGCACCGCAGCTTCCTGAGGTGGGACAGCACAGGGGTGGCGGGCGGCCTGCCAGCACCTCCGCGCCCCAGGCGGCGCCTACTGTGTGCAGCAGGCACGTCCCAGGTGCCAACTCGCTGGACCCACAGTTCTCGCAGAGGACTTCCAACCCTCCAGCCCAACCGTGTCCAGTCCCCACCACCTCTCCCACCCCCGGGCACTGCTGGATGCACAACATGCCCACCTGGAAGGGCCTGGGCGAGGGCCTTGGTACGGCCGTTCCCAGACGGCCACAGGGCTCACGTCTCCCTACCCTACCAGGCCTCAGGGGCCCTCTCGGTCACACTGAGTGGCCGCCCCATCCCCAACCTGTCATTGTCCACCCATCCCCCTCCTCCACCCATCCTGAGAGGACCCCTGTCCTCTGGTCTCTAGGGCTACTTCTCCCCCAAGACATGGCATGGCCTGTCTTCAGCTCCCTTCCTTCCATACCAGGACAGCGCCAGGACAGAACAGGCGGACAGAATGGCCAACAGATGAGAGAAGCAAAGACACCTGCCCGACACCACACAGCTCCCAGGTGAGGTCAGTTCATACCGCCTCTGCCTGCACCTGGTCTGTGCAGCCCACACAGACCACAGGCGAGGCCTGGCTGGGCCTGGGAGTCATGGAAGCTGAGCCCCGGGGCCTGGACCCAGATGGGAGAAGAGGGCAACCTTCGGCCATGAGGAGGGGAGGGCAGCCTCTTGGGACGTGGGAGCCACATGCCTGCTGCCCTCCCAGCCCTGCTTCCTGCTGACCCTGTGGTGGCCACGACCAGGCCAGGCCTGGGGCAAAGTGGGGGTGCCCGCCGACCCCCTGCTGGCCGAGGGTGACGAGCCACCCAGGGACCTGCCTCTTCCCCAGGGCTAGAGGGTGCAGAGGCAGGGGTGCTGATTTCAGGGGTGTCTGAGGGGCCACAGGGCAGCCACCCGGCCCAAGGGCTGCCAGTTGGGACAGAACTGCGGGCTCTGGGCCTCCCTCAACTCTGTGCCTCTGATTCCCCTGTTCACCAGGCTCCTTCAAGGCCTTGGACCCTCCCACACTCCCTAGTCACCGTCCTGTCAGGACAGGGTTCCCCTTGGCCACGCCTCCTCCACAGGCCGGCGGTGATGGGCCCAACGACCTGCACATTCCGAGAGCGGGACGCAGAGGGCCCTTTCTGATCCAGCTCCAGGACAGTCCACCTTGAGTCCAGCCCTGGGTGGGTTGCTGCTCAGCTCAAGAATCATCAATGGCTCCCCACGGTCCACTGAAGAAACGCCCAGCCCGAGCACCTGTCCCTAGGAGACCTGCTGTCGCTTCTGTGGCATACAGCAGGCGCTGGGGAGGGGTCCATGGCATGAATAGTGCTCACGTGCAGGCCGTGGGTCCTCTCCTCCCGTCTCTCGGACAGGATCCAAGGCCCAGAGTGAGGCCACGCGCCCGAGCCACAGGCCTCCAGACCACACGCCGGCATGAGCACGGCTCCACGTAGCACTCCTGCGGACGTCACTAGGGCAGGGTGCTAGTGACCTGCCGGCCCCCTCCCAGTACCCACAGGCGTTAACCCAAAGCTGCTGTTTCACAGCCTGGGAGGCAGGTGCTGCGTGGTCCCTGTCACAGGTGGAGAGGCGGAGGCACAGAGAGGGCAAGTCACCTGGTGGAGGCCACAGAGACCCTGAGCAGCAGGGCTTGTGCCTGGGTCTTCTGGGCCTGGAGTTCCTGCCATCTGTCCACCCTCACCCTCGTGGCCACCGCTGCACAACACCCACGGAACAGGAGGAGCTGGACGCGGGCAGTCACCCGGAGCGCCTCCCGGGGACGGACCTGGGTCCTCCCCACCCGGGGCGAGGGCAGCACCTCACAGGAGGAGACCCGGGCCAGCCCAGGGCTCGCAGCGCAAGACGCAGACGGGCACTCACCCGTGGGAGCCTTAGGCCTGGACCCCAAGTCCCCAGGTCCAGAGGTCCACGGGGATGAAGGGGAGGCCGCTGAGGGGGGCTGGAGGGGGAGGCCGGGCTGGGGGCAGCCCAGTGGCAGGGTTCCCGAGCCCCGAGGTGGGGCTGGCAGGAGCCGGGGAGGCCAGGACGCGGGGAGGGAGGACAGCGAGGGGGAGGGACAGGAGGATGGGCAGGGGCAGGAGGACGCTGCCTCCAGGAGGGGCTCCAGGCCACCCTCTCCCCTGGACTGTCCTGTGCTGACCACCTCCGACTCCTGACCTGGTACACAGACATGGCCAGGTCACGCCCCATCCTGCTCAGCAGTCTGCCCTGAAGTCCCTGCAGACCCAGGAGACGAGGGGCCCTGTCTGAAGCCCACTCCCGAGGCACCACTTAAGGCCGCATCTGGAGGGCAAGGGCAGGGAGCCTTGCCTGAGTGGAGTGCCAGGGACATGGGACGTCTTCCCCTTGGCCTGGAGCCAACAGCACACGTGGTTCAGAAAGAACCCCCCAGGAGAGCTGGAATGGGGCCCTCAAATTCTCAGTGGGGCTTGAGGACAGTTCTAATGGGAGATGCTACCCCGGGCCGGCCTCCATGTGCTGTGTGACCTGCTCACCCTCTCTGGGCCTCAGCAGGTTGCACTCAGCACACCAGCTGCCCAGAACGTGCCGCACAACCTCAGTCCAGCCAGGTGGGGGCGCCTTTCCAGCCTTCAGAGCCACAGCAGATCCGCGGGGGTGGGGGGTGGGTGGGGAGTGCTTCTCACCAGGGGCTCACACCCCAACTCAGTGGCCGGTATCCTGGCTGAGCTTGTTCCCAGCTTTAAAATCGTGAAAATGCTCATCAAATGTATCCAAGGGAGATGAAGAGGGAGGGAGTGGGCAAGAGGAGGGGCAGGCGCCTGGCCTCCAAATGGTCCTCAACTCCCAGAAACAGCTGTTCAGGGAGTGTGGGCCCTGGGAGGCCACCTGAGCCCACAGGAGGGCTGGGCCTCCAGCTGTCGAGGCCCCTAGCCCAGCTCCCTCCCACTGAGGCACTGACCGAGGGCAGCGGCCACAGATGGGCTCCTGGGCCTTCTTTCGAGGCTCTGAGGCCGCAGTTTCCTGGCTGAGTCAGCGCAGACCTGTGCAGCACCTTCCCTTGCTGGGAGCGAGCTGGGACCAGGCTGGGAGCAGCCCTGGGCAGGCGAGGGCCGCCCCTGGCCGCGCACTCACCATCTTCAGCTTGTGCTGCTGCAGGATCTCGTCGAGGTTCTGCCGCTTCTTGTAGTTGAAGTAAAAGTTCTTACACTGCGACACCGTCTTGGAGCCCACCATCCGGGCGATGGCCGACCAGTTCCGGCCATGTTCCAGGAGACCTGCAGGCAGAGGCGTGGGTGAGGTTGGGGATAGCCTGGGCTCAAGGAACAGGGTGACGGCGGAGGGCATGGGGCCAGGGGCCCCCTTCAGGATCTGGGGGCTGACCCCCGCCCCAGCTGCCTGCGGGCCAGGCGGGCTGGGTGACCCAGCGGCACTCCCCACAGCTGCCGAGGCCCCGGGAGACGGGACTGCCTTCCGGCCACACCATGGGCGAGCGGGAAGACGAGGGCGGGGGCCAGGATGCACCCAGGCTAAGGGGCCACCCAGAGGCCCACTGGCCACGAGGCCCACCTGACTTGGTCAGCAGCGGGAGTGGATCTGCCCACAGGCGCCTATTGCCCAGAGCGTCCCCCAGCCTCCCAGACCACCTGGTGTGAGGAAGGCCCAGGAACCTGCAGACCCCGGCCACAGCAGTCCCTGCTCTCCCTAGTTTGGGCCACAGCTACACCTGCCCCTCCTGCCCTGGAGGCTACCAACCTCAACCTCAGCAGAAACACGGAGGCTGCACTCAGAGGCCTGGCCGCCCACCTGCCCAACCTGTGTTCCTGCTCCGAAGCCAGCGGGGTGACCGCCCTGGCCCAAGCAGCCCTGCAGCTAAGGCTGGCCACCTTCCCAGGACTGACGAGATAGAAGGGGGTCTCTGAGCCCCAGGGCCACAAGGGTCAGGACTATGACAAGAGACCCTGCAGGCAGGCTTTAGGCCACCTGGCTCCAGTCATTCAAGCTGCCCTACAGGGGCGGGGCCAGGGTTCCCTCCACCCCCCACCCGCTCATTCCTTCAGGCCTGCGCTCCCACAAACCCAACTGACCACCCCTGGAGGCCGAGTGGGCCTTCTGTGACCAAGCCCTCCAGGGACTTGGTGAGTCCCCTTCTTCCTGTCCAGGCTGTGGCCATGTTCCCACCCCTAGGACGGAGAGCTGGGGCTCAGGGGGTCAGCCACCTCACCGCGCTCACGGCACAGGCCACAGGGCAGAGGAGGTGTGGGGCCCGCTTCCTGCTCTGCTGGCCTCTGGGCCTGTGGGTGGGGGTGGCGCTGGACAGGCCACCTGCTTGCCTGCAGCGGCCACAGCAGCCACGTGGCCCCACACCAGCTCCTCAGGGTTCCTCAAGGACAGGCGGGGGGGCCGGGGCGTGGGATCAAGTGTAACTCGGCCCCTGACCTTTCCTGCTGCCCGCGCCAGCAGCAGCTGCGGCCCCAGAACCAGCGGACGGGACTTGCGTTTATTTATATTTCCCAGCCGGAGCCGGAGTCCAGGCAAACAGGCCGGCCAAGGAGGACCGCGGGCCTGGAACCCAGGGGCGGGGGCACGTCTCCCATCTGGGCCTGTGGGGATGGGCGGGTGGGCGGGGAGACCCCAGGGAGGCCGACATTTCCAAACTCCACAGACAAACAAGGAGGTGGCCGGAGCCGCTCCACGCACTCCACCAATGGGTGGGGGCACCAGGGGCGGGGGCTGCCTCCCTGAGACCTGCTGCCCCAGACCCTGGACGGGCCTGCGCCCCTGTGCCTCTGTGGGGAGGACTGGCCAGGGCCTCTGGGGCATGGACTTCCCGGGGCTTGCTTGGGGCCCCAGCCAATGTCCAAGCACAGGGGGCAGCGTCTCAGGCTCCCGCCACAGAGCCAGCCCGAGCACCTGGGGACATCCGCAGAGCATGCCCGGCAACAGCCGCCAGCCCTCCCTGCAGACCCAGGGGCCCCTCCCTCCAGGGGTCCCTGCTGGACGAGGCTCCATGTCCTCCTGCCACCCCCAACTGCCCTCTCCTGAGAGCCTCATCAAGGTCCTTGTCCCAGGGCACCCGCAGTCCCCAGCCCCTCCCCGGGGCCACTCACTCACATCCTCTTATCCGCGTCTCCCCCTCGGCCAAGTTTTCCGGAAACATCCGGCTGGGAGGATGCTCCAGGGAACCGGGCTGGGAGCTGGCGGCCACGGAGCTGTGGCTGCTCTGCTCCTCACGGCTCAGCCTCAGCGGCCAGGAGGGGAGGGGTGGGCGGGCGGAGGCCGCTCAGAGGGCGGGCGGCAGCAGCCCAGGGCTCCCAGGAGCGGCCACCTCCGACAGTGAGGAGCTGAGAGAGCCTTGTCCGCGGGGGAGGGGGACGAGGTGCCGTCACTTGTGCGTGCAGGGTGCCCCTGTGCCAGGCGTCACCAGGGTGCAGCGACAACTGCTCCTCTAGGCACCCACATGCCCGGGGAGGACACAGCCAGGGACACTAGTCAGAAGTCCCCGACACTCAAGCTGGAGAAAACCTCCACCCTGGGCAGCCTGCTGCCTGCTCCCTCTGCTCCTCCTGCTGCCCGACCCAGCGAGCCGCGTCAGGACTGAATGTGACCTCCAGACAAGGCTGGCTGGCTGGCGGGCGGCGGGCGGGGGTGCGTGGCAGAGGTCCAGGCCCAGGAGGGGCGGGCCCACTTGGCACAGCCCCTCCTCTCCCCGTCCTGGCGTCAGCCGCGGTGAGAACAGACAGGGCTCCAGAGAGGCAGCGCTCTCCCAGGCAGACTGGGAGCACTCGCTTCTCCTGTTGCCCCCCCCTGCCAGTTCCACCTGCTGTCTGCCCCCCACCTGCCCTGCTACTGGGTCACTCAGGCCCTCCAAGGGGGCAACGAGTGGGCAGGGGATGGCTTTGTGTTCCAGGAGGAAGCTCGGGGTTTGAGGAGCCTCTAGCTGTTTGGGGTGGGGCAGTTCTGGGGTCTCCTACGGGCCCTGCTGCCTAAGGGTCTAGGGCCACAGCTGCCTCTCCAGTCCTCTGAGACCTGGAGGACCAGGTCAGCCCATGCACGGGGACACCTGCTGAACAGCCCCCGGTGGCTCCGGGAGGCTGAACGGCTGAACTTTGGAGTGAGATCCAGGTCAGCGCCACCTCTGTGCCTCGGTCATCGACCTGCCCTGCTCCCTCGCCTCAGCTGTGCCACCCTGCCACAGAAGCCAAGGCAGAGGGTCCCTGGGGCTGCCCTGTACCCGCCCGCGCCAGGCAGAGGCAACCAGCAGGTCCCAGTGGGACCAGGCCCATCCTGCCGAGCCACACCATCCACACCATGTGGCTTGGGAGGCCACCACCGTGTCACTCTTCCCATGAGGACCGCAGACTTTGGGGAGGGCGGCCAGAGGCCTCCAGGGCCCAGGACAGGCAGGACAGGCACCGGCCTTGGTTTTGGCTCAGGGCACCACCAGCAGTCCCGGGGCAGTCACACCTGCTGGGGGTGGGGACCGGCATTCTCTCAGAACCACGGGGGACGGCCCCCTCAGGGTCTCCCCTCAGTTGAAGTATCTTGGTGGCATCTGTCCCCCCTGAAATGGGCTCTTCTGTTGCATGCTCACGGTGGCTGTTTGGACACGCAGGAGGCACTAGGCAAAGAACTACAAGGTGCCAGGCACCCGAGCCTGAGCCTGGGGCAGCTGGCACCCCGGGGCCCTCTGCTCCTGGCCTGGGAAGTTAGGCTGGCAGGGCACCAGGAGGGTCCTGCTGCAGAAGCCACTCCGCCCCGTGGCACGCCGAGCTGGCCCTGCGGTCTGGATTCCCCAGCTCCACTTCTAATTTCTAAGGAAGGCGTTTCACTTTGAAGAGTCGGGAACTAGGAAGTGAAATCACCCAGACAGGAAGTGAGCAGGGCCCGAGTCCAGCCGCCTGAAGAGGGGGTGGGGGTGCGGGTGAGGGGCGCCCCTCTGCAGGGGTCCACAGCGGCGGGGGGCAGGGATCACCGGCCACAGGGACAGCTTCCTTGCCCACCCAGGGCCTGGGACTAGCTGACCTCCAAGAACCTCGACCGCTGCCCGCCCCGGTGAGGCAGTCCCCAGGGCTTGATGCCAGCCTCCTCCCCTGGAAACCAGCGCAGACCCTAGTCCAGGGCTCTCCCCAGAGTCCAGCCCCGAGGGGCAGCAGGGCACAAGGGGCACGGCCCCACCCCCGCCTGCCTGAGAAGCTCATCTGAAAACCCAGCAGCTCTGCCTTAGAGGAGACCCCCACCTGCGGGGGGGCAGCAACACCAGCAGGGACAGAGCCCCAGGGACCCAGAACAGGCCCAGGCCCACCTCTGCTAGTCCTGAGGTCCACACCCCACCCTGCCACCCACCTCCCCTCTGGCCTGCCCCCTCCTCAATGGCCTCAGGGTCCCCAAGGCCACCACTTCCAGGACATCAGGAAGGACACAATCATTAAAATGCAAAGAGGCCTCCTGGCCCGACCTTGTTGGCTCTGCCTGGAGAACCCCAGGCTGCCCTTCCAAGGACAGGAGGCAGTGATGGGGACCCAGGGGACCCAGGGGACCCGACCACAGGGCCAGGCATCTCCTCCGAGGCCCCAGCTTGGGCTCTGCTGCATCACAGCATAGTGGTCAGGGCACACAGCATGCAGTCACCACTGCACAGGGGCACAGCTCTGGCCCTGCCACGCAGGGACCGACCTGGACACTGACACGTCCACCCCAGCACAGCAAGGGTGCCTGGCTGCAGGATCTCGACCCCTCCTCAGCCCAGACAAGTATCCCCAGGTGTGGCCCAGGCTGACACGCTCCGGCCCAGCAGCTGACCTGCATCGGTCCCTCCCAGTGCCTCGGTCCCCAGCCCTGCCCATCGGCCTGGGTCACTTTCCCCCCAGGCCAGCCTGCCTGTGTGTGAATGGACATGTCGCCCCCCACGTGCGAGCCACAGCACGAGCCCCAGCTGCCCAGGCCACAGGAGGTCGGCCTGGCGGGGTCTGTCCTCAGGGACAGCATGAGCCTCTGACCCAGTGCTGGTGGCCGGGTAGGACTCATGTCCAGGGCTATCCACAAGCTCCCGTCTCCCCTCAACTCCATCCACCATGAGAGCCCTCAGGAGGGCTGAGGCCAGCGGGCTCTTCCCCCACGGCCTGGAGGCCAGGGAGGGGCAGGGCAAGGGCGGGGCCCACTCCCGCTCTGGGGGACTTGTGAGGCTCCCCACCCTCCACAACAGGAGGAGCAGCGGGCTGGCCGGGCCTCTAGCACCACAGGGCCACACTCCAGGCCAGGCTGGCTCTCCCAGGGGAACCAGAGTCCTGCATCCTAGCAGCAGGGGCCAGCTCCTCCCACCCAGCGTGGCACTGGGCCCAGGGCAGGTGGCCCTAACCTCATGTACACACCAGTGACCGTGGCCCCCAGGGCCTCCCATGCTCTCACAACAGCCCAACTCCACCAGTGACCCTGGCACCTCATCCTCGGGCTTCCGCAGCTCTCACCTGCACACGGCAGGCCCTCTGCTGGGCCACCCTCCCTCTCTCCTTACCTGGTAACTGTGCACTGGACTAAGTCCTCAGTCCTCAGGCCAACCATGCTTTAGAGGGCCTGGGTCCCAATCCCAGCCCCAGGACTCCACAGCCGTGATAGCAGGTCACCTCTCGGAACACCACTGCCGCATGCAGGTGAAGGAACGCCTCAGCAGCCGCCTCCAAGCACGCGGGAAGACGCGCCTCCCCCAGCCCCAGCACCCAGCATCTGGGCAGCGCTACCTGGGGCTGTGGGGTCCGCCCTGGCGCCTACCCTGGGGAGCCTTCCCTGGCCTTGGACGCCTCAGTGGTCCCCGTACACCTGCTGGGCAGGCACTCGCCCCAGCTGCCCCAAGGTGCGGTCCCTGTCAGGGCCGGACCCGGAGGGGCGGAGTGGGAGCTCGGACCCAAGAAGGATGCTCTGCGGTCTGCACACGGGGCCGTGGGTGCCACCCAAGCACCTGCTGCATACAGAGGACTGAGCGCACTTGGCTCGGGCCAGGACGCGAGTGGCGGGGACCTCAGTGCGCCTAAGGCACCCCTGCCCCAGCTCCTCAGCTAGCACCCCAGCCCCGGAGCAGCCATGCTGGGCTGGCACATCCCCATCCTGCCCACCCAGAACCTGTGAGCCCGATTCAGGTAAGCGGCTTCTGCCAAGGTGGCCAAGACAAGGTCGTCCCTACAGGGAGGCACCCGGGCACAGAGACACCGGGAGAGGCACGTGCCACGGGCAGCGGTCACCCCAAGGGTGGAGAGACAAGGCAGGCCCCTCTGGGGCTCCAGCAGGAATGGGCCCTCTGACACTTGATCTTGGACTTCTGGCCTCCTGTAGGTTCGAGATCACCCAGCCAAGATGAAGAAACAGGCACAGAAAAGTCGGCTAACTGGGCTGAGGTCACACAGCCTGGAGGTCTAGAGGCTGAGATGACTCTTCTCCTGCAGCTCACCCCTGAGGCCAGGCTAGGAATCTTTCCAGATGCTTTGGCCAGCTCTGTGGTCCCAAACCTGGGGACACACAGTTGCTGGGCTCCTGGGCTTCCTGACGGGTGGGGACTGGCTTCCACCCCAGTGCCCTGGCTCCACATGGATGCCATCTGCCTTGGGTACAGCTGGCTCTTGGGTCCTTCTCCCTCTGGGTTTCCGAGGGCCAGGCCAGGGCTCCGGGACACGCCCAGCCACCACACCCCACTGAAGAGAAGGGACCCCTGCCAGCACCTGGCTCCCCACCCCCACTTGGAACAGATGGCCGAGAACAGCCACCCAGCCGTGATTGTGCAGATCGCTGTGATTCCCGGCAGCTGGGCACACTGGCGCTCCAGCATCATCATAAATGTCACTGAGCAGGTCCCACGCACAGGGACCCAGGGCCCTCGCTGCGTCTCTGCAGGCAGGACCCGGGATGAGCTCACCAGGCTGCAGACCCAACCTTGAGACGGCCAGGGCACCCAGGCCTCGCGGTGACTCATCCCCGCCACCCTCCCGCCTCCAGGTCTGCCCTCCTGAGAACCAGAAGGCGGCCACCTCCTGGTGTCCAGGCAACGGCGGTGGGCTGCGGTGAGGACAGAGACGCGCACATAGGACCCAAGAGGCCGTGGGCCGTCCATGCGGAGACCCCCACGCGTGCAGCTGGGGTAGTCCCATGGCCAACAGGTCGAGATCCCAGGACACACTGGTGGTCAGTAGCCGTGGGCCCTTCACCAGAACACAGGAGCCCCCAGGGACGGTTCCCCACCCCCACAGAGGAGCCGACGAATGAGCACATGCGGCCCATTCCATGGACACCTCGCAGTGGACTTGAGGACACCAAAGACCCCGACTCGGCTAGAGCAAGGCTCTCAACAGCAGGTCCCAGGGGCCCAGAGCCATTAGCCCGGGGGCGTGGCCCGTTCGGGTGGCTAATGGGCATGGAACTTGTCTGGAGAGAGAAGGCTCTGGACTGGGGGAGGGCTTTGCTCAAAGCCACCGCAGGCTTCATTCCAGCCACTGCCATGAGCATGTGTCCCCCACCAGAACTCAGTGCAAAGGACTGGCCTGCTCAGGGCCTGCAACGGGAGCCGCCAGGTGGACATAAAGACTGACATGGTAGCCCTAGCAGCCCAGACAGCACCTTGATCCTCAAGAGGACGCAGGGCAGAGCCAGGGGTCCCGGGTTTCTCCTCTGAGCCCACCTCTGGGAAGAGAGGCTGGTGCCCAGAAGGCCCCCGAAGGGAAGGGCAGCGGTCCAGGAGTGTGGGGGCTGGAGGGTCCTCTCAGCTCTGTGGCCCCACTGGGCAGTTTCAGCCCTGGCCTCTCAGCAGCTGTGCCAAGGTGTTAGGTGAGGGCGGGACCAGACAGCCGCACCCAGGCTGCTCCTGGGCACCAGCCCTCCCAGAGGCCACCTGCTGCACCGCGAGCTGAGACCCTCACCTCCTGCAGACGAGAGCCCCAGCCTGGCAGAGCCTGTGGACAAGAGCCGGCGGCCAAGGCTGCCCATCCCCGAGCACCAGCTCCAAGCCTCGGAGCAGCCCTTAGCCTCCGCTCCTGTCCCTGTTTATGATGTGGGACAAGGACAGGGCCACCTCCAGGTCAGGGGCAGGTAAATGATAGCCACCAGGCAAAGTGGGGAATGGGGCACTGCCAGCCACCTTAGCACCCGGGAGCAGGGGGAAGGGCAGGGAGTGAGGAGGACAACAGACCTGCCCAGCAGCCTGGACACCCCTCCCACCCACAGACACCTACACCTGGACACCCGTCACCCATAGACACCCAGACACCAGGACACCTATACCAAGACACAAGGACACCTACACCGGACACCCCCGTCACCCACAGACACCAGGCCACCCACACCTGGACACCAGGACACCCCATTACCCACAGACACCGGCACGCCTCTCCTATTCACAGACACCTGGACGCCTACACCCAGACCCCCATCCCCCTGCGGAAGCCCGGACACCAGACCCACTCAGATGCGCAAGTCAAAGCCCAGAGACTGGCCACAGCCTGTGAGTGGGGCTCAGTGCCAGGCTCGGGCCATGGGACTGGCACCAGGGATGCGAGCACCTGCCACTCAGCCTACCCTGGGGGCTGCACAGGTGGGCACTGGGCCCAAGAGGTGGACGGCCTAGATCCATCCTGCACATCACAGGTCACCAGCAAGCTGGGATGGCATCCGCCCCACAACCCCCTGGCCATGCCAGATCTCAGTCCCATTTCCAGCTCTTCAGTGTGGGCCATCCCCACCTGTCCCTGACGTGTAGGTGGCCCCGTCCTCTCCAGGACTCGCCCTTGGGATCAGGGACAGGGGCCTGGCACATATTTCCAGACGGGAGCACCTGTGTGCCCAGGAGGGGTCTCCTGAGCTCCGCACTGGAGCTGGCCATGCCCATGGAGACCAAAAGCCCTGTAAATGTCACTGGCCCATGACCCTGGTGGCCTCTAGCGAGCTCTGACCCCCTGGATAGCCCAGGTCTGCGCTGCCCTGTCTGCAGAGAGCACAGAAGCAGTGCTGCCCGTGGCACAGCTGGCCATGTGCTCCTGGCTGGGTCTCCACGTCACATGGGGTCACTCAGACCCTTTCTCTCTAGAGGGCGAGGGGCTCAGAGGGGCAGCAGCCCCCACCCCGGCCCTGGGCCAGGCCACGGGCGCCAAGCCCCCCACACACACACACACAAGTGCCAGGGCTGCAGCCCACCTTTCTTGGCTGTCTCCATCTCCTCCTCGGTCCAGCGCGAGCTCTCGTTCATCTCCATAGAAGCTGTGGAGGAAGGCAAAGCGGTCAGCAGGTGTCCTGGAGGCCCTGCCCTGCTACCCGAAGCCTAGACTCCCTCTCCTCTGAGTCCAGGAAGGGGCCTCAACGGTCACCTCCCTCTCTGACCCCCACAGAGAAGCTGCACTTCAGGTGGCCCTTCCCAGCCGGCACCCGCTGCAGCTCCCGACTCTCAAGCCACACACAGGGCAGGACCTGGGCTGAGTGGAGCCACAGACCTCTACTCACAGCCTCCACTCACAGCCTCCACTCACAGCCTCCACTCAGTGTGCCACACTGGGACAACTGAAACCACTCCCTTCACCGGTGGGAAAACTGGAGTGGCCTTGGCTATGCTGGCCTTCCCTGCCTGTACTCTGCCAGAACACGGTGGCCCCTGGGGATGGCCTGAGGCAGGGGAACAGGGTGGGCCTAGGTGGCAGCTCCCAGGGCCCGGCTTGCACTCGGGCTGGACTGTGCCCTGCTCCTGGGCTCTGCTGTTCCCAGGGCCGGCCTCAGGATGCCCGCAGCCCGCTCCCACTGGGACCTAAGGTCCCCACAGGCATGACCACCCCGGGTCAAGGACTCTGGTCCTGGAGAGTGGTCATGTTCTCCCAGGACAAGCCCGGCTCCTGGCGTGAGAGGGGACAGACTTCGCCTTGGGCTGGGGCAGAGGTGGCCGCTCATCTGTTGTGACCTTTTCTGAGCCCCTCCTTGCTCCCTGAGACGTGAGCCCAGCCGTCCCTCCTAGCTGCCCTGAGGGATGCCCACTCCTGGACTCAGCAACAGAGGGTGGCCCACAAAGGCTGGCAGGGGAGACCAGTCTCAGCAGAGGTCATGTGGCCAGTGACCTCGATCTGGAGAGGCCACCCCAGCAGCCTCCCTGGAGCCCAGGGTCCCCGAGGCAGGCAGACAAGCCGGAGCCAGACTGGGCTGCAGTGGAGGCTGTCTCCACCGCGGGCCTCCAGGCACACCGTCACAGGGTGGCAGTGGGCAAACATCCAGGAAGCAGGTAGACCTGCGGCTGCTGTGCCCACCTCAGACCCCAGCTACCTCTGTGACTTCAAGAGGCCACAGCCTGCCCAGCCTCGGGCAGCCCCTGTACAAAGCAGGTCCAAACTAGCTTCCTGGAGCCCCCGGAAGAGCCTGGTAGGGCAGACTCCAGGCAGCCTGGAGGCCGAGCCTCTCCCCACTGGCCCACGCCAGGAAGGAGCCCTGGACAGAGGCCGGGCTTCACCTGGTCCCCACAGGGCTGGCCCCAAACACCAAAGGGGAACCGAGGGGACAGACACGCACCTGCTGCCCCCTGTGGCGGACTTGGGAACTGCCACTCAGGCCTGGTCTCTGGCTGCCTGCT